TATTAGATTAAAAGACTATAGACTATAACTATAAGAATTATATTACTCTTAAGATAGGTAGTATTAATATAAGAATTAAGCTATTATTAGCTTCTTTAATTATAGTTAGAGTTCCTCCCTATAATCTAAAACTCCTCCTTAGTATAAAGATCCAGGCTAGTCTCTATACTAGTTATATCCCTAAAGCTTTCTTTATTATCTAAATCTACTTTAAACCTCTTTTAACTTAGAGTAATATCCTCTGAAAGATATCTTTTCTTTATTCTTACCCCTAGATATATCTTAGTTATATAGTTCTTCTATTCTGCTATTCCTAATACTATATAATTAACCTCTTAAAATTATATATACTCAGGATAGATAAAGGGTTAGTTAAAATAGCCTGCTTACTTATACCTTAATAATATATATAATATAAGTTCCCTTTTAGTTAGACTATATTTACTATATAGAAAACAGATTAATACTTTATTAGTTATTAAGGGTATATATATACTACTATAATATTATATAGTATAATTATATTAAGCCTCTAAGCTAGGGGGAATTTAAATCTTACTTCTAAACCTCTTATATTCTAGATATAGAAATACCTAGATAAATAAGTCTATATACTACTGCTTTATATATTCTATAAGTCTATATTTTATAGTAAAGTTACTATACCCTAGTAGATATCTTAGCTTAACCTTCTTTAACTATTTATCCTTCTCTAGTTTATTTACTTTATTAAATTTCTCCTTATTCTTACTATTATTAGGATCTTCACTCTTAGTATAATAGCCCAGATACTTTTATAGATATATAAGTATAATATTAAAAATACTAAGATCTTTAGAATTAATAATAAGCTAAATACTAACTATAGAGGCTATATTATATAAGGCCTGAAGCTATAACCTATAAAGGCTAATAGTCTAAGTAATAAGATAATCTATTAGAAGCCCCTTTTCTTATAGCTTTCTTATATTATTAAAATACTCTTAGTAGATAGACTTAAGAATAGAACCTTTAGCTATTAACTTTATAGTTCTAATTCTGCTAGATAGTCTTTTTACTTCTATAGATACTTTTTTAGATATCTAGTTAAGCTTATATTATAGTTCTATTATATTTTCTCTCTTTTCTAGAGTATTTTATTCTTCCTAAGTAATATAGACTAGTACTTTCTTATCCCTCCTTAGGAATATTATTTATATTACTTCTAAGATAGCTTAGATACTACTTACTAATCCCTAAAAGATTATATATAGTAGGTTTATATTAATATTATAAGATAAATAACTTTACTTAAATACCTTATTAGTATAATCTAATATAAAGTTTTATAAAGATATTACTAAGCAGTCTAAATAAGCTATTAGTACTAACTAGGGCCAGGGGGTAGATATACTAATATATCTAAGAGCTAATTACTAGTACTAACTTAAAGAGAGTATAGCCTAATTTTATTCTAATTACTCAGACTAGCTACTAGATAGGTTCTCTGCTAAATTTCCTAGTATTTAGAATATACTAGCTTAAAGATATCTTACTCTATAATAGACTTCTTCTATACTAATAGAATAAATACTACTTCTGGATTAGAGTTCTATATTTTCTATAGAATCTGATCCAGACTAATATAGCTCTTCTTAAATACTTAATCTGTAAGTACTTATAAAATTAATAGTCTAAGAGAGCAGATTAGGTAGTTTAATATAACTATTAGTTAGAAAGTAATACTATAATAAATAATTAGTAAAATATAGCTAGCTTTTTATATATATATTCTACTTATTATTTCAGTTAGTTAGTCTGAATTCTATTTTTACTCTTACTCTTCTTAATATATTTTATAGTAATATTATATATAGGCTAAGATCTTAATAGATTACTTATATTTTAGAGCTATCTGATTTTAACTCTCTTATAAGGAATACTAAGAACCTCTTCTAGCTACTAGCTACTAATTCCTTCTAGAAGTATAGCTTAATAAAAGTTAATCTAATATCTTGGATTATAGATAATATTACTTAACTAGCTCTATATAGTAATAATAATAAGTATTATATTATTTATAGTAGCTATATACTTTATAAATATCTATTTAAGCTTAGCTTTAAGCTCTATAGCTAGGGTTAGTAACTACTTAATAGGAATTAGTTAAGAAGCTATATATAAGAATAGGTACCCCTTATTTATATTTAAAATTTAGTAGGCTAGTCTATTAGAGATACTATTACCCTCTCTTCTGGGATTATATATCAGGGTCCAGAAGCTAGCTTATTAAGGGAACTCTCTTCTCTTTAGTAATATAAACTTTAAGTTAGTAACTCTAACTAGAACTAGCTAGTAATTCTATATAATCTTTACTAAATTAACCCTCTATATAATCTCTATCTCTCTAGATCTATAGATAATAATCTGCTTTATATATATCTTAAAATATAATACTAGGAATACTTAGTAATAATTTATTACTCTATTATTTTATAGTATAAGATCTAGCTAAGTCTATTTAACTAGTATATCTATTTATATAGTCTATCTAATACTAATTAGTAAAGAAAAGTAATAAGCTAATTAGGGATATATACTATTCCTAAGTATTCTAGATATAGTTATATCTAGCTTTAGTTTTTATAGAAAGCTTATATATTATACTCTTATTATTAAAATACTATATATAGGCCTTAGCTCTCTCTATATTAAATATTAGGATTATTAATATTAGAAATTATAAGTAAACCAGGAGATAGAGAATAGAGGAAGAAGGGTTATAGAACTTATAGATTAATAGCTGGAGGGGAAAGTAGTATATCTAAGCTTATAAGTAAGCTATTAGCTTACCTATATCTATATAGTATTATATCTAAGGCTGATACCGATATAACCCTTCTTTTTATAAGGAGATAAAAAAACCAAAATTTAGAAAGTTATAATATATAAAATAGGTAGCTAGCCTAAGCTAGGTACTTAGCAGGAGGTATTAACGGTCCTGGCCCCGGTTAGCTGATAAACAGTTGTTATTTAGCTCCAGTAGTAGGGAAGCAGCTGGCCCCTTCCGCAGATTACCCGGAAAACGGTATTGCTACCGGAACGCTCGGGATCCCGTTCGCTCTCCGTACGTTAAGCTCGCAAGGGGCCGATTAGTAGCTGGGTCGGTGACGACCAGCGAATCCCGGCTGTTGTAGGTTCTCCTTTTTGCTTCTTTTTGCGCCTTACAAGTTGGTCGACGTGTTATTCCACCTGTTGCAGCTTGGCGTATTTGGTCGCAGGACTAGCAGCCCGCCGTAACCGAGAATCAACTAGAGGCTGCCCATTCAACTTTGAGCAAAACACCTTCTTCGAATGGCGCCCACAAGTTTCGTAGATTTCTCCTTGTTGAGTTGCTAGATAAGAACTTTACTAAAAGCTTCTCCTACTCCCTTCTCGTTCAGCCAAGCTTCTAATGCCTTCATGTCGTTCCGATTTGCTCTCTCCCCTCGCCTTTCACCAAGATCATCCGTAATCTCTTGCATATCCCGAAATTCTCTCTTGATATCAGACCCAGATTCCCGATATCTCTCACTGACTTTCTTGTGGCCGGAGGGAATATCTCCCCAGCTCTCCGTCTTTATAAACTTCATGTAATCGTCTATCGCCTGGGAGCCACCCTCAACACAAAGAACGCCCGGTTTTCCGGCCAAGAGGAAGCCAGTCAAGCCGTACCCAGGTGCGTGATTGATTAAATCGTCTCGTTTCGAGCGTGTGCTAATCGAGGGGAAGTAAAACCAAACGCGAACAATTCCCTCATCTGTTTGCGTCTTTGCATTTTCCAGGGCAGCTGTCTTTTTCGATACGAGATACTCGGCTGCTAAATCTTTCACAGCTTCGATGATACTGAAAATATCCTCCTCAGGAATGTCACTAGTTAACCGCGCTGCGTCCGCTTTGCTCATCCAGGCGGGTTGTCGAACCCTGACTTTTGGCTGAGGCGGGTCGGTCAGTGCACCCTCAGCTGCGTCATCCGGATGCTGAACCAAGGGAAATAACACCTCAAGCTGGAGGACATTCTCGTTTGTGAGTGAACCGTCCTGTTGAGGAACTTCGAGGTTGAGAAGTGCTGATATGCCTAGCTCGGCGATCTTTGGCGGGGTTTCTTCATCACCCTCGCACCATGCTTTCAGAGTCTCCACCAGTTGAGACGACGTAGAGTCCAGAGAGATGGCCTCATCTGAGGAGTACATGGCTATCAGAAGGTCGACTTGGCCCAATTGGACCTCCATAAGGTCTTTTGGAAGGGGCACATTCTGTGATTTTTGATTAGACGACATGTTGGTTGAGAGCACGCATATCGCAACCGGTTCTAGCACTGGGGAAGCTGGTTCAAGGGAAACAGTGCATGCATTTGTCGTAAGGTGAGTGGAGGATATTATACTCGTCAATATCACACATCTAATCTCTCTCACACGAGCGTGAAATGGAGGAGAGCAAAAATATGGAGGCAGTCACGTGTGGGCTTTTTTCTCTCTCGTGCTAAAACGGGTGACAAAAATGTAGCCCGCCAGTCAATCTCGCGCATAATCAAGTTTGTAGATATTGATGGCCCTTTCACATTAATAATGATGGTCATACAGTCATCACATTCAAATATGGACCTAGTTTTTCCGATGATTATTTTCGATCGCTTAATTTATAACTTTTGTTGATGGATATCAGAGGCTGAGTGAGCCTTCAGTGTGCAGCTATTTTTGTCTCACACTTGGGAGGAACTGGGTCTACTGGCGTAGCAGTTTATTCATTCGCACATAACTGCAATGAAGGGTATTATTCTACCATCAGTGTTGATTTAGAGAACAGATGTACCGATGAGCGAAAGTTTCTCTGCAATCAAGCCTGAATTGTCGTTCATGTGTAAGAAGCGTATCAGCTACGAACAGTGCCCTCAAAAGTGATTATCAGTATTGATTGAGTCGAATCCTTGGGCCAAGATCCCAGAAATCCTCAAACAGAGCGGAGATGGTGTGAGTTAATTTCTACACAAATGGCCCATCAAAACTAACCATGAGGCTCTCCCAATCAACTCCATCGATGTCCATATCAGTTCCGGGGTTCCCCCAGTCTATAGATTCAGGATTGGACGGCGAATCCCCGTATGTCCTCCCCTTGATCCCAGAGTTTGGCGTGAGAGGGAGAGCGGACTGGCCGCGCTCGAAACCAGCCGAGCGGACCCCCGGCTCATCATGAGGCGTTGGAACCGGCACATTGTGCTTCTTCATCACCTGCCTCAGGAGTTCCAGTAATCGCTTCGCAAGTCCTGATTGGTCTCTCGCTTCTTCAAGGACGTTCCAGATCTGCCTCATCCGTGTGCGGCTTTCCGACTTGTCGGTAGCCCCATTCTTGAGACCCAGATCCATCAGTAGGACGAGGCCAGCGGAGAACAAGCTGTGGAGTATCAGGCTAAGCTTAGAACATCGCAGCGCGAAACGGTACTGCTCTCTTCTCAGCAGCAGCTCCATGTCCAGGATATCCCCGGCAGCTTTAAGGCAAACTGTCCGCGAGTAGGCATATGCGGGATCGAAAGTGCCGCGCACGAAGAATGGGAGATGCAGTTTGCAGCGCTGGCTGTATGTAATTAAATTAATGGTGTATTTTTGGATCGTGATGTGAGCTCTGCGACGAGGGCATGATGCCTCTTGTTGCGCGAGGCCATCCGCGTCCAGGTTGAGGAATGTGGGAATCCCTTGGAGGAAGCGGTCGATAGTGGCATCTAGCTCGAGGATGAGACTGTACTCGGCATGCGCTGGACCGTGCGGCATTCGGTCAGAAAGGATACGCATGAGATTTGCCATTTCGACACGCTGCAGGAAGTATGAGCTGTGTGTTGGTTCCTCGACAGGTCTTCCGACCATCGTGCCGTCGTCGGTAAGATCTTCATCGTTGATATTTAACGGGCGATTGACAGACATTTGGCTCGGTAAGATGGTATATGAGCCTTCGTGTGGTCCAGAGAACCGCGATAGCATCCTACAATATTGATTATCAGTCGACATCGATGGGCAGAAAGTCAAGGGGGCCAGACCATACCAATCAGTAGCGGCGAGATACCACCATACGCGCCGGCCGATCTCAGCTTGAATTCCAGTGTATTTTGGTACTTGGCCAGGCAAGAGGCGGCAGTCAATCCGATGGAGACTCAGCTCACGAGCCATGGTGATGGCCTGGGCTACAATTGTACGGGATCGGATCGCTATTCCTTCCATGTTTCCAATGATGAAGGTCAGCATCATGGTGGCCTGGATGGCCTCGATCGAAACATGAGAGTTTCTATGGCCATGGTCTAGTAAATCCAAAGTAGCCTTTGTCCAGAAACTGGACTGGCAACTGGCTTCGGCATCACTCAAATTGATGGCCGGCCTCGAAATTGCAGGAGTCCAGAGATAGGTAATATCAGCACAAACAGATAACAGCAAGGCAACCGAGCCCAAGTGCACATCCGCTCCGGACTGCAAGCTATCGTAGACTTGGTCCACTAAGAGGCGAAGCGCTGGGCCATGAGTAATGTGTTGGAGAAAGATGAGCTCTGCAACGTAGGCATTGACCATCTCTTTAGCTTCTTCACGCTGGGGAAGCCAGATGCATCTTACTGGCTCCGGGAAACTGCCGCATGGTGGACTCTGGAAAATGTAAGGTGTTGCTGACGGAGTGATTAGGCGTATGGGACAGATGCGGAAGACATAGGAGGAGTTTGAAAGGACCGCGGTGTCCTACCAAGCATCAAGAGACCACCGCATTTAGCATCAACACGACCGGCAAACAAGAACAGCAACAAAGCGGGCTAGCTTACTTACATTGGGATTAAGGGAGTCAAAAGTGGATTGTTCAAGCAATACGGCATCTGCATCCAGCTTGTGTGCGTTTGGGGGCAGAATGGGGGGTAGTACATTCTGTTGAGTCATGACCTTCTCGCTCTGATGACTGGCCACCGATGACGGCGTGTCCACAGGCAGCCCATGGGCACTTTGGGGTTCTTTCGTGTGGGTGGCTAACAGAGCCTCTAGTCGCTCCAGGCGACTCAGAATAGCGCCGTCACCCGCACTCGAGGCTGGGGACAGTGAGCTCACAGCAGCAGCCAGAGCACTCACACTCAATGGGGCCTGGTGGACATCCTTGTCGTCAGTCGGATGGGGACACTGGCGCCCCCGGGATGTGCAGTTGGTGCAAGGAAAATCCCGAGAGCAGCGCAGTTTCCGGACTCGACAAAAGGAGCAAGACACGGGCCGTTGGCGAGACTGGCGAGGCATGACTCTGGCGGCTTGGCTGGTTCAGAGGATTGCAACACTTGGCTAGGTGCTCCAAAGCAACCTCCAGTACTGCAGCATATGAGGACGACGGGTCTCTACGAGTCGGAGATTGGTGGCGGAGATGTGAAGCGGAGGTGTGAGACGGAGAGTCCGCGGACTTTCCATCCAGTTTCCATGGAGCATCCGGATTTAAGATTTGTGTCCCCCGCAGACCCACTGGTAGATTAATCATCCCAATAGTTAATTGAGTTTAGTGTTTTGTTTGCGTTGTCTAGTGAGCAATCTGACAGTGGCCCATGCTGGGTTTGATGAGTTGATATCTCTGTTGACCTGGGAGAGAGGCGTCGAGATATCGAGAAAAGGAAGAATAATTATTCAAATAAATTGGAAAAAATAGAAGACAGTTGACAAAGCCAAGTTCGGACAAATCGCAAGCATATTGGAATTTCGTCAGATTAGATGCAACGGCCAACGAATCGGACACTCAACCCTAGTCGCGGCTACTGCACGATGTGTGCCTCCTGATGCGACGCTCAATCGGTCCCGCATGTGCCGTCTTCCGTCTCCGGCCTTTGTGAAAGCCCGGGCGCAAAAGAAATAAAATCCGCCATGCCCTCCTCGCCAAGCTAACCGTTTCCCTAGAGCTCTACAGATATCAAGCTCACCAAGGACCAGATCCGACCTCGACACCAAATCTACAACAAGTCGATGAAGAACGCATTCTGTCAAAATGGAGAAACAACAAGAAGGAGGTCTCGTCGTCGGTCCCATCCCGGACAAGCAGGACATTGATCTCGAGACTGGCTCAACCGATATCAACTCACAAGCTCCCCAGTCGTCCACAGACCCCGATGTCGTGGACTGGGACGGTCCAGATGATCCGAAAAATCCAATGAATTGGCCGCCGCGGAAGAAAAACACCATCGTGGCGCTCATTTCCCTGATCACTTTCATCACGTCAGTTCTTCCACGACAATCGTGGGCCCCCTATTGATTATGTGTGGTGTTCTAACAGTACCTAGACCTCTCGCATCTTCCGTCTTTGCGCCTGCTATTAACCAGGTCATGGCTGAGTTCAACTCCACAGACGAACAACTGGCCTCATTCATCGTCTCTGTGTACCTGCTAGGATTCTGTTTTGGTCCCCTGGTCCTTGCTCCTCTGTCGGAGATGTACGGGCGGTTGTGGATCTACCACATCTGCAACGTGCTGTTTATCGTCTTCAACGTCGCTTGTGCCTTGTCCCCGAACCTGGCAGGCTTGATCGTCTTCCGTCTCCTTGCTGGACTCTTTGGGTGCTGCCCTCTGACCCTGGGTGCTGGCTCCATTGCAGATATCATCCCTCAAGAGAGACGAGGTGCCGCCATGGCTTTCTGGGCCATGGGTCCCATTCTCGGTCCTATTGTTGGCCCTATCGGTAAGACACCTCGAGTCTTGGCTCGCTTTCATGTTATTAACATTGCTCTCCAGCCGGAGGATACTTGACGCAAGCCAAAGACTGGCGATGGACATTCTGGGTTGTCGCAATGCTCGTGAGTATATATAACAATCTCCAATAGCAACCCAGGCCTCCCTCGACTAACTTGATCAGGCTGGCGTTATCACTATCATCGGGGTTGTTTTCATGCGAGAGACTTACGCCTACACCATCCTTGAGAAGAAGACGAAGAAGCTTCGCGCAGAAACTGGGAACGAGAAGCTCCGCTCAGCTGCAGACACCGGCGTGACGGCCCAAGAGCTCTTCTCAACCTCCATTATTCGCCCTACCAAGATGCTCCTGTTCTCGCCCATTATCCTCCTCCTCTCTCTATACATGGCCATTATCTACGGTTACCTGTATCTTCTGTTCACCGCCATGCCGACACTCTATGCGACCCAGTACGGGTTTTCTACAGGATCGGTCGGCCTCACGTACATCGGTAGCGGAATAGGTTCCATCCTGGGCCTGGCCCTTTCTGGTGGTCTTTCAGATCGTCTCATGAAGCGTTTAACTGCAAAGAATGGAGGAGAGCCAAAGCCCGAGTACCGACTCCCAACAATGGTCATCGCATCTTTCTTTGTCCCGTTGGGCCTCTTCGTCTATGGTTGGACTGCTGAGAAAAACCTGCACTGGATTCTACCCATTGTCGGCATGGGATTTCTGTCATTCGGAATGATGTGCGCATTTGTAAGCTGCCCCCTAACCTCCTTTTCTCTCGCTGAATTTCTCGCTGACGATCTCGAAGATGGGAATCTCCGTCTATATTGTAGATGCGTACACTCGCTACGCAGCATCAGCCATGTCGGCCACCACTGTTCTCCGATCACTTGTCGGAGCACTTCTCCCTCTAGTGGGTGGGCGAATGTACAATTCTCTGGGCTACGGATGGGGTTCCTCCCTGCTGGCATTCATCGCCGTAGCTATGATTCCCGTTCCCGTCATCTTCCTCATGTATGGTGAGAAGATTCGACAGAAGACATTTTTCAACGTCAACATTTATTAAGTGGCGATCAACCCGCTGCCACGCAACATATCACAACTCTTCTCACTTATTCAATACATACATCTAGATCTCATCACTTATAGCATAAACTAGAAGGGAAAGGCGTTCACATGGGGAAATATTGGGCAAATTGGATAACCTACATAAAACGGAATCGGAATTTGACATCCTAATCATCGATAAAGTTATCAAAATGTAATTAACATTCTAATTATCGAACCCACTTAAAGGCAAATGTGTTTGAACTGTTTTTATATTAAATGCTATGGATATATCGTACTAAGATTAACTTTATAAAAATGCAAATGCAAAAACCATCGCTACTTGGTATCACTGTTAAGATTACTGACACATTTTCGTCTAACCCTCCTCAGGCATACCCGTTTCCATCTACACGAACTCGTACCGTGCATGAGCAACCGAGTCAAAACTCGGAAGCTCTTCTTCCAGCACACAATCAGACATCAATTTTACGCCCGAAGGTTGCACAACCACCTGTAACGGGGCAGACAAGTTGAAATTGACACCCCCGACACCGCCCACGTTGACTGTAAGACGAACAGTATATGTCCGGGCAATGATTCTCGAGTAAAACGTCGGTAACATGAGCACATCGCCAGCTTTGGAGGCGACAGAGACCTTCAGGCTCGTGCGGAGGCTGGATCCGTTGCCCTCCTCCTTCTGTTCAGAAACCCACGGTTTCTGAAGAACCTCTTCGAAATCAATAGGTACTGAGGTTGTATAGCATAAAGGCTGGTATGCAATGGCTGCGGTTCGCGGCGGGATCATATTTGGTAGTTTGGTCATTCCTGTGTCGCTGAACCAGGTTTGTGACTCAATCTTGCCCGAGACAATGCTGACTTCTAGAGGTTTTGTGTCTGCCAGCCTGTTTGTCTTCAAAAGCTCATAGCCAATATTGACATAGAGATTGTGTTCGTGATACGGGACGATACCGCCCCGAGGGTCTACCCTTAACGCTTCCGGCTCAGCCAATGTCGCCGTGACGTATCCAAGCTTCTTAAACAGTGGCCCCCGGTGAGTCTTCCTCTTCTTGAGAGTGTATACAACGTTTTCTTCGCCCAATCCTGACGGCGGCTCCTCTGGGTGTGATGGAAGGATGGTGATGGCTCGGCTGGCAGCAATCTCGGCGATTATTTTGCCATCTCCCGCCTTCTTGGTAACTACAGCCTTGATCTCGTATCGAATCCTACAGCACAGGGGAGACATATCTCGCGCCTCCCATCCACCCCCAAGCGATGGGGGTAGTTTCTGCTGATATGACCTCATAACCCCCGTAGGTCTGTTGACTGTTGACTCTGTGACCGGGATTTCGTGCGGGATAATAAAATCAAATGGGATGGCGCGGGCGCAGCCAGCCTCGAAGGAATCGTATTGATCGCTCAGAGGCGAGTCCATGGCTAGAAAGGTGCAGGTGGTGACCCGGGGAGCAGGGACTGTTTCCATCATGGTCTTGGCTGTGCCAATCAGGCTGACCTGCACACAAGGGGATTGGATATCTTCGGAAGGGTAGATGACTACTTCGCCAGAGATTCGCGAGCCGCTTGTGTAGATTTTGCTTTCATAGTGGCCGTCGATGTTCACCTCAGCTCGGCCTTTGGTCCGGCTGGCCAGTCGTATCTTGGAACAAGGCATTTTCGTTATATCCTGGGTGAATCGATCAGATTGGGATTTTCTCGTCCTCCTCTTGAACGGTCGCACTTTGTTGGTAAGACATTGGATGAGGCCATCACCAGGATCGCATATGGTTATATACAGGACAGGCCACCTTAAACGATGTGGAGCAGCCGCTGAAAAATTGACGACATTACGAGACATTATTCTACAATCCTCTCCGACAAGAAAGAATACTGTTAGTCAATGACAACTGCCGCCCACATGGGCGATGAATCACATTCAACTGTGCGGCTGGGGGGCAGACATCCCTCGACCGTTTGGATGGAGCACGGCCAAGGTCGAGCCAATGAAGAGAATCCCGCGACGGAGAAAACAGAGAATTCGTTCCACAATCGTTCCACTGGTGGATGGCCCAGCCTGTGTCCGGCTCGGACAAGGCGCGCCTTACATGGACAAGTTACGCCCTGTGGCCAACATGGACACCACCATTGACCACCAGAGGCATTTGGCTGGCGTGACCAGCGCCCAATTGAATTCGCCGGATCGAGCCTTGCTCATCCACAGCTGATCAATCAATCAAATGAGCCCTTGCAAGGTGTGTTTGGCAGCCCGCATACACGGCTGGCTGCATTCCCCTGGCCCACTGAGACCAACACTCCGAACACGCCGACCACAGCTTCGTCTGAGATGATGGCTACTAGTTCAGTTTCTTGAAGTGAGGCTATAGCTGCGGTGTCGCTGCATTGCTCCGATCCAAATGAGATGAGGCCCCCTCCGAGTCATCATTCCCCCACGCGCCGAGTCAGTGAGGAAATGACATGCAGACTTTCCCCGAACTCCCCACATCATGAAGGCCAAAGAAAATTGCTAGATAGTTCTGGCAGATTCTCGTTAGCTATCGTGAGTCCGTGATGTCGATGGGAAATCAATTGGCGGTCGACGATGACACGCTCCAACAACTTCAACGACGCGCGTCCAGACACGTGATCCCTCTTGGCACTTGACGCTTCCACCATCAGATTTTGCGCGCAATTTGGAGTGAGACGACCAGTCAATTGGTAGAAGAGAAGATTAAAAAAAACAGGAGAAGGCATTCATTCCTTCGGCTACGCCAGATCCAAATCCGCAGTCCGGGACCGAGACCAGCGGACGGCTCCATCCACACTCCTCCTCCCCTCCGGCTCTCTCGGTCCATCCCGTATTACCACATCTCCCGTCGAGTCTCCCGCCTACGCTATTACATACTACTTACTACATACATACCATATAAACGGGCAGGGTGCTGCCGTGGCCCCGTGCCCGTACCGTCTCCCGATGACGAGGTTCGCCCGCCTCGCAAGGCTTCAATCAGTAAGGACCCGGCCGGCTCCATCCGCCATCTAACTCACCCCTTTGGACACGCCGGTTGATTAAACGTTTTACTTTTCCTCTCTCCCAGGGCCGTCTGGTACGGGTCGATAGGCCAGCCTACGCACAGCGCGTCGTCTTTGTGGAACAAACAGAACCTGCCGCCAGGAAGCAGTCCGGCTCCGGCAAGAGCTCACGGCGGCGGCCTCACTCATCAGCAGGACACGACGATGACGCAAAGAGCGGCTTGAAGTCACGGCTGCTGGAAGGCGGCGCGACTGCCTTCGGGTCCGTCGTGGTGCTGGGCCTGATCGGCTACTCGTACGAGATGTACTACAAGTGGCTCGTCCTCCAGAAGATGGACAAGGCGTTTGACGAGGGCTACTCGACGCCCGAGCTGGCCGCCCTGACGCGCCACACGTACGCCAACCTGGGCCGCAAGGTGGTCATCCTCAAGGACATGGAGGACGACAACTGGATCTCCCGCCAGGAGCAGGGCATCATCGACGCCATCGTCGACGGCACCTCGCAGGGCCAGTACCACCTCATCACGGGCGAGAAGGGCACTGGCAAGACGTCCATGCTGCTCAAGGCCATGCGCCGCATCGAGGGCAAGGGCATCGCCATGCTCGAGGCCCACGGCGACCTCGAGGTGTTCCGCCTGCGCCTCGGCAAGGCCCTCAACTACGACTTCCACGAGGACTACATCGGCAGCCTGTTCAGCTTCAAGGGCCCACGCGACGCCACGCCCCTGCTCGACATTGAGCGCGCCTTCAACAAGATGGAGAAGATTGCCCTCCGGCGCCGCCAGCTCACGGGCAAGCCGTTGCTGCTCATCATCAACCGCGCCCACCTGCTGCGGGATGATGACGAGGGTCGCCATCTGCTCGAGGCCATCCAGCAGAGGGCGGAGCTTTGGGCTGCCAGTATGCTTGTCACGGTTGTTTTCATCAGCGACGAGTACTGGATCGAGGAGCGTCTACGGCCACATGCCACTCGGATGCGCGTGCTCCCTGTCCACGACATCTCGCGAGACACGGCGGTAGATGCCATCAAGGAATTCCGAGCACGTGTCTTCCACGAGCAGGTGACGACGGAGGCAGTGGAGAAGGTCTACGCCAGGGTCGGAGGAAGGCTACGCTTCATCAGCCAAGTAGCAAAGGCGGTCGACATGGACCACGCGTCCAGAACCATCGTGGAGAGGGAGAAGCAGTGGTTCCTCAACCAGTGCTGGATCCTCGGCAAGGAGATGGACCCCGAGGCGGAGAAGCAGCAAGACTTCTGCATGGCGGCCATGGTGCTGGCCAAGGCCCTCGTTGCCAAGGAGGACGAGATGAAGAAGGACGGGACCATCAGCCCATTCGCCCTGCCCGAGCTTCCGCTGCACGAGGCGCGTCAAATCATGACGCGCTTCGACTTCATCCAAGCCCACGACCACATCAACATCTTCTCCATCGACTCCAACTCCAAAGTCCGCGCCGACTCGGTCGCGATGCAGAATGTCTTCCGCGAGGTGGTCAACCAGGAAGGCTTCCAAGAGCTTCTAGATGAGACGCAGGAGCGCCTGGATGAGCTGGAGGCTCTGGGGCGGACGAGGGAGATCACACTCAAAGACTTGGTTGGAGGTGGAGGATACAACGCCAGCGTTGAGGAGGGTTCAGCAAAGCAGGCAAACATGGTCATTTCGTTCAGGGCTGCCCCAGATCCTGACCCATAGACTTTGCTATCACAATTAACCCACTACCCGTTTTCTTTCTTCTGTTTGCCCTCCACTCCCAGTAAAGTGAGCATTGGCTGGTCGTAGGTCAGATAATGGACGTGATGTACGCAACACGCAAGTTGATTCGACAGCATGAGCCAAGCAATGCTTTATCTACCAAGCTTGCCTACCTATGCTGTGACCTATCATGAGGTCTCGTGGGCCGAGACTAGAACTAGTCTATAGATAGACGGGTTTGCTTACCAACATAGCACACTCGAGACTGCTCAAGGGTCCAACTACTGATAGCGAAGAAGGCTAGCCATGACCGACAGCTGACGGCCAGCTATAGTCGTGTTCCCTGCACCTTAACAGAGTGTTTACTAATGAACAGATTCCAAAATGCCCAACTGAGGCTGCTACCGGTCGGAACAAGGTGTCACTGGGAGCGGAGATGGTTCGTTCAGATCACAAGTAAGCCGTGGCGTAGCGTGGAGGAGAACACCACAAGATCCACCGGTAATTATCAATAAACCAACTCTGTGGTAGGTGTGAGCTCGCACGTGGCAGAGAGGCGATCGATTGTAGTTTCCGAAGACGGTATGTGAAAGAGCACAAAGATAGCCCGTGGCTGGCTTAGCCACGACTGCGTGCAAACACATGGCTCGCATTGTAGCAGACATGCTAATGGCAACAAGCCTCCCAGACCCTTAGCAAGAAGTTGACGAGCGAGTGCAGTGGAGAACACTCGATTCTCTCAACATTACATTAATTAGTCCGATCCACAATGTCATCTCACCACAGCCACCAGCCTACGCTACTCCTCAAGACCCATAGAGTCTCGTTTTTTAAGAGCGAGAAGGGAAACAGGCGGCGGTGGATGCTACATAGTACGTCTGAAGGTCGCGTTGTCGAGCTCATTCTCGCGGCAGCGGCCTGCGCGCTGTCGTTTGATTACAGAGGACCAACTGGTTGCTATATCAGACTCGTCTTGCCCATATCACGGCTACCCAACACAAATGAAGATCGCCATTCCCTTCTCCCTCGGCCACGTCATTGGATGATGACTGATCTGTGTCTCCGATAGCCTTGGTATAGAGAACCCCGTTTGAAACCGTTTGGTGACATTCATTCCGAGACGGCTAATGACATACAAACACGGGGTTCAGTCTATGGCTCGCGCGTGTCTGCCCTATGAATAGCGGCATCGGTGATACTGCACTACCGAGCCAAATGCCCTCGCGACGGTACCTGATTTTCGCATGATGTATCATCCAGCAAGGCTCGAGCTAGCCGGGGAATAGTCTCGCTAGCCCGTTGACTCGAGGGTCTAGCACAGCGACGAACGATGGAACGGCTCATTAGATTGCTGGATGAGATAATAGGGGCGGCACCGTCGAAACAACGGCAGGGCAAAAACGTGGCACGCGTCCCATTGCACTGATCACACAGGCCAGGCGGTCCACCGAGATCCCCTTTGTTGAATCATGCAGCCCCTGTCGCGCAATGGGGTCCAAGTGTGGGTAGGGCTTATATCCGATGCCACTCTTATGATCGACAGAGGCACTGGGTTCATCTCTCGGTCAGTTTTTTTTCGGCCCGCTCGTTGGGCTGAAGTATTGGCCATAGCAGACTGGAAGATGTGCTTTTGAGCCAAAGGCGCAAGTCTCCTGCATCAAAATGCCCATTGACCTCTTCACCATCCAACCGATGCAGGCGTCCAGGCGTCCAGGCGTCCAGTGGTGCCCGCCGTCTTGCATCAGAGTAAACAAGAGCTGTGCCGTACCTGACTCGAGCTCTACAGATCGTACAAGGCTACCCTTGCTTCTCGGCATCTAGCCTAAGGCCTGGTGTGATGATCCATGGGCTAATGGGTAGCTCAACCACACGTGGAACCAGACCAGCCATCAAACCCTCCGGTATTTGCTTCCTGCGTTGACTCGCCGCGCCCTCTCGCCCTGCGACAATCAGCGTCAGGTAGTGCGAGTCCGGGCGGCCGGGAATCTTCGGCAATGTCTCGAATCCTGGTCGCGTGGGCAGAGAGATGCGGCTAAGGCTAAGGTGTCAGATAGATTTGGTGTTCGGTATTGCTTCCTGGACGCCAGATCTCGGTGCGCTTTTTTTTATTTCTCGCCGTCCTCTCCTTGAGATTTCTTTCTCCAGTCCCCGGAAGATCACTAGGGTTTGGAGACGGTTAATGCGTAGATAATTCATGCAGATGGGGAAAATGGCACCTCGCCTACAGAGGGCATTGACAAGACCAGGCATCCCAACCGACGAAACTGTGACCGCGGCCAATGCCTCGAGCAAAAAGGCGCAGAGCAGAGGCGGCTCCAAAGTTCCAATATGCCTTGGGCTGATCTGGCAGCCTCTCGTGTGTAATGACCCCATCCACCATTCATTCCACTGGCTGTTATTTGCTCCTTGCCACTCGCTCAGAACTAGCTGATGGGACCAACAAGTGGGCTCTCTTTGTTTCCAAGATGCGCACGCATCCTGGTCCCCGTCGAGGAGCGTTGGCGTCGGTAAGTAGCGTATAGAGGGCAGTCTCCTGCAGTTGCTCGACGGTCAGGGTCCCTGGAGCCAAGGAGACGCTCCCGCCACTGCCTTCTCTGCTTTTCTGCTAGCCTGTTCCTCCTTCTTCTTTATGTTCTCTATCTAGCGCTAAAAGGAAGCCATCAGCACTTGGTGGTATCCATCAATGACCCTTACTCCTCGTGGCTGACGAAAAGGGATATCCGATCCCCAAGCGTCTGGCAGCTCTCACCCCCCGAGCAGTTCGTCTGGACTTGAATGTTTAACTGGGCCAGGTCCCCAGCTCTCGAGAAAAAGAAACAACACATCCACTAATCCTTCTACCTCGAATAACCATGGACGAGAGTGAGAAGGCCGCATTGGCCTCCTTCTCGGCCGAGGCTTTCAGCTACCTCAGTCTCGGTATTGCGGTCATTCTCCTCCGCACATTTACTCGAACCCGTCAGGTTGGGATCACAGGTCTCACGGCTGACGACTACTTCATGCTTCTCACCATTGTGCCCTACACCACCGAGACGGTCCTTGCGCATGCCGTCAGTCAGCAATTCAATGGATTGACCAACAGTGGCATGACTGATGCCGAGCGTGCTGCTCTTTCTCCCGATAGCCAAGAGTGGGCTTGGAGGTTTGCTTTTGCCCTTGAATTGCATCTATACCAACGGAAGAACAAGCCTGCTGACAGGTAACAACAGAGTGGCAGGCTCAAAGGTCCAGATCGCAGGCTGGTGCATGTATGCATCAGTCTTGTGGACAATTAAAGCCTCCCTGTGTGCCTTCTACTCGCGTCTAACAGTGAGTGTCTCCCAAGCAAAATATTATTGATCAAGTACTGAACTGACGGGCCATCTCTGTAGGACGGTGTTCACGGCTACCGCGTTCGAATTCTGACAGGATACGCAATCATCGGAGTGACATACCTCGTCATTATCCTCACCTACCTGCTGAGCTGTCAGCCGTTCAGCCACTTTTGGCAAATCTACCCCGACCCAGGAAGTAGGTAGGATCAAATTAAAGGCTCCATGGAGGAGTTTGCTAACCATCCTCGCCTCCCAACCAGACCTCTGTCAGCCTGCACTGTCCAAGGTGTACGTCCTCCTGTCGGTTACTCTCAACATCGCCACCGACGCCTACCTCATCCTTATCCCGGTACCTATGCTGTGGGGAACTCAGCTTCCCACCTTCAAGAAACTCACGCTCGTCGTCGTCTTCTCCGGAGCCCTGTTCGTCATGGCTGCTGGTCTTCTACGCGGCATCCTCATCCTCAAGGTTCGTCACCCGGCTTCCCCCCTTCCCATCATAAAGAATAACAGGGGAACTCATACCAAATGAACACTGCTAACCGGCATCCGAATCAGAACCCAATCGACGGCCCAAGAGAAGGCTCAGCCTGGGCCGTGCGCGAGTCCTTCGTCGCCGTCGTCACCTCGTGCCTCCCCATGATCTGGGGCTGGCTCAAGATCAAGCTCAAGCCCTTCCTCGGCTCCCTCCTCTCGTCCCAGTCCAAGAAGAACGGCCCGGAGCCGGGAAGCATCATGCTCGGCGACACCAACGACGGTTCCGCCTGGCGCTCGGGCAACCGCACGCACACCACGTCCCGCAGCATCACCACCCGCGTCATGCCCGCCGCCGAACGCAGCAGCTCCGACCTCAGTCTCAACCCCAAGGCCCTGGGCGGTATCACGAAGCAGGTTGCCATCTCCGTGTCTTCTAAGAAAGCCGGGGATGGGGCAGAGGCGGGGAGTGACAGGAAGGTGCACACGCAGCTGAAGCTTGATAACAAGTGGTCATAGAGTATCGAATCATCATTAATTTCTTAGGGATGGAAGTATATACCACCTGGCACGGGATGAACACGCCTCATACGAGACTTTACTTAGGATTTTTGGAAATGAAAACATGCGGGCAAGGACACCTACGACCAGGATAAGACAGGTGTTGGGAGAAAATAATTATGATTTGACCATGTATATATTAATAACACAAGCCGACAAACGCATCATTTCTGTACAATTTACTACCAGAGAGGTAATGAAGAAGGGCAATTGAAACACGTCGACTCTTCAAGCGATCGATGTCCGTCTCCTCCAAGCATTACGAGCTGGTAAACAACAAGCTGCCGCATACAAGACCATTGAGCAGATCCTCGACACCCTCTCCTCAATCTCCGGCACCAGTATGAGGCCTATTTCTTGCCGGCCAGCCAGCCTCCATCCACATTAAGCAGCGTCCCCGTCACCCATCGGGCCTCGTCACTGACAAGGAACAGCGCGGCGCCTACAATGTCGCTCGGCTGCCCTATCCCCAGCGGATGATTGCCCTCGAGCCGTTCCCTGTTCGCAGATTTGACTGTATTCACAAAGATTGCAGTATCGGTATCTAGGAACAAACCAACATGTCAGACTCAGCCCCGTTGAAAGGGTGAGATACTTACATCCGGGACAGATGGCACTGCAGTGGATGCGCGACGCAGCGTAATCGAGGGCCACCTGCTTCGTCAAAAGTGCAACCCCTCCCTTTGACGCGTTATAAGCCGCTGTTCAAGCCCTGTCAGAATCATGGTAACTGTATGTCCCTGTGGTGTTCCGTATGCAGACTCACGCATGCAGTAGCCGCCCGTGAGGCCGTATATCGAGCACATGTTGACGATCCATCCTCTGTCGCCCGATGGCAGTAGGTCCTGCTTGAGCATCTGTGCCGTCGCATACTTGCATCCCAAGAATACGCTCTTGGTGTTGATAGCCATGGTGATATCAAACACCTCTTCAGACGTCTCGTGGATCCTAGCAAGTGGCCTCCCCGCCTCGAGTGACACACCAGCATTATTGACAAAGCTGACGCAGATTCAGCAAACGCTCCCCATCTCCATTTCGACAGATTATGGATGGCACTTACACGTCCAGCCTCCCAAACTCCTCCACGGCCTTCTGAACCAGCGCCTCCATATCAACAGCGCTCCTCACATCAGCACGAACGAATATGGCCCGTCCCCCATTCTGCACAATCAGAGAATCCGTGTTGGCCTCGCGCTCAGCCGACACGTCCACGCGAGCCTCGGGCTGGAGGTCGGAGCAGACGAGAAGTCCTCCCTCGCGAGCGTATGCGAGCGAGATGGCCCTTCCTATACCCGAGGACGAGCCTGTGACGACGCAGACTTTGCCTTTAAGTCGATCTATAGCACCCATATTTGTATTGTTGTCATGCGAATCAACTAGCGGGCGCGAGAGGAACGGACCAGACCAAGATTGGGTTTTATATCTGCGGGATCGGGTATCAATACCCTTTCCGACCACCTAATCAAAGTTTGCTCATTGCCATTTTTGATCTTCTGCATGGAGATTGAGGGGCCAAGGAAGGTAAGGAGAAGATCACGCTCCCTCCTGCAGGACATATGAGATGGCTGATTCGCCAGATTCCGTCTCCCGAGAGCTCATGAGAAGGCAGCCCTCAAGGATGATTACAAATGCTCAAGTGTAGATTAAAAATCAGCAGAACACCTTCATCTTCATTGAGATTATATGTTTGTGATGATAAGAATGAAATGGGCATGGCGATGCAAACCCTGGCACGCATTTCCCATGATCGCCGACAGCAATCCGCCGCTGCCCACATTCCGCTATATCTCGATCTACTCTTCCATGTTCTCGCCTACATCATACATGCAGGCAGAAGCACCCCGTACATCGGCTTGCTTGAGGGGGGGTGAGGTCGCACCCCTCTGCACATGGGCCGGGGATCGGCCAATCCAACCTTTCACTCCGTATCACCAGCACCCTCCAGCAGATATTGCAGCTTTCGTAGGCTGTTTATACGCGGTCCATCCACTGTAAGAGAAGCAATCAGTCCCTCAGCGTAATAGATGGAGAAGATGCCCGCCGCCGTGGCCATCCGCACATCTCGCTCCTCATTGTCCCCGACAAACACCATATCCCCCGGCGAGATGTCCAGATGCTCCAGCACCTTCCCAAACATCCCGTCCGTCTTGCTGGCCCGGAAGCGGTTCGTCGTGGCGAGGAAATCAATGTGCCTGGCCAGTCCCAGTGCCTCGACGGTGCGCTCCTGCGCGTCCTGCGGCCCTTCAGTGATGACCACAATCTTCTTGCCCAGCCTTTTGAGTGTCTCAAAAAACTGGAGAGCGCCCGCCTTGAGCTCAAATGACCTGGTCAGCGTTGTCTCATACACCTGGAGCAGATGCGTGAGGAACGTCTCGTCATCGGACGGCAGGGAGAGACGCGAGAGGACAGCTGTGAATCGTTCCCTGCGATAATCAAACGACGTCTTGCCATCGGAGAATGCATTGGCCGTCTTCTCCTTAAGCACCTGAGAATGCGTCTCTTTCAGCAGCAACAGATCAGCGCCGGTGTGATCCGAGACTACTCTCAGCACCGCCTCGACTGCCGCACTCGAAGCACGGCGAAACTCATGCAGAGTGTCGTCCAGATCGAACCCAAACCACGGCTTCTCCAACAGCAAGGCCTGCAATCGTACAAGCTCGTCGCCGATTGCTAGAGACTGTGACATTGGACTGGCTCGTTTGGTTTATATCAAGTCTGGTCATGATGCGCAATAATCGCGCGCGACAGCTCAAGAGGGTCAAAAAGAGGATTGCAACTCATTAATAATCGATATCCATCCATTCTGCTAGTGGTATTACAGTTCGAAAAACAGTCATAGCATAGCCGTAGATACCCTCAATTTTAGTTTGATTAACAGAGAGTTAGTTTCTGAGGCAAATAGTACAAGCCAGATTCATAGTCTCACGCCCTTTTTGATAATTCCTCAATATGTAGGTCGCCTCCATCTCCCGTCCAATCCCACTGCATTTGTCTGATCGTTTGTGTACAAAGAGAATTAAAGTAAAGAAAAAAAGATGCATGGTAAAGCTGTGCGATGGTATAACAAGTTCCAATCGAATCCCGATTCAAAAACACGTAAATCCTTTAGTGAGAGCCCCTGGGCCGCTTTGCACCACCTCCAACTTCCGAGTCACCACGCGGACGCTTGTTTCCCGGCTGGAAATCGGAGGCTCCTGGGTTCATTCCTCCTCGTCCCCCTCGTGCGCCGCCTCGACCCCCTCGGCCGCCACCAGGCTGTGGTAGCCCGCTATCGCCTGCGCTGGCATTACGCTGCCCTGGCGCGACGTAAGTGCCTCGTCCGCGACCTCCGCCTCGTGGCAATGGGATACCTGTTCGGCCCTGCTGCCCTTGTTGCGCGTTGGCCTGCTGGCCCGATTTGTTATCCTGGTGTTGGGTCGGTGGACGCTGTTGAGTTTGTGCTACAGGTGTCGCAGGATCTGCCGGCTTGGCTGCAAACGGGTTTGGGGCGTTTTTGTCTTCCGAGTCTGCAGGAACAGCAAAGGGGTTGTTAACTTGGCCCGGTGTGCTCGCAGCAGGTGCAGGTGCTGCTGCCGCGGGAGTCTGTTGACCGGCTGGCTTGGGAGGCAGGGGTGCTGCCAAGGTTGGGACTGTGCTTGGGCTTGGAGCCCCAAAACCTGCAGCTGGCTTCGCGGATGTTGGAGTCGATGGCCCGCCTGCGGCACCGGCAGTTGATGCCTGTCGAGCTGGTGTTGGGCGGGCTCCAGCTGCGGGCGTTGCTGGCGGCGGTACCGTTGTCTTAGCTACTTCCCAGACCTCAACAACAGGCTTCTGTGGAGTCTCCTTCGCTGCCGTTTCGACGACGCCGATCTTTGCATTCGCTTGCCGAAGCTTATTTTCGAACATGTTGATTCGAAGAGTAGACTTCTTAGACTCGAGGAGCTGCGCTTGTTCCCGAGCCGACACTATCTTTGCCTCGTAATCAGCAACCGTCTTGGCTTGCTCTGATTCGACCTTCTTTTTGATATTCGCAGCGATGATGCTCTTAACAGTAGCATTAGACGCCAAGAAGCTCCGCACTGTCGCGTCGTCGAGGTGCGATAGATCCACCGGTCCGTTGGTGCTGGGAGTCGCAGGCAAGCCTCCAGCAGGGGGCTCCGTCTTAGCCGGTGTCGAGGGTGGTTGCTCTCCTGGCTGAGCTGTTGATGAGTTTTCGGCCAGCCAAATCTGCTTCTCCTGTTCAAACTTGAGCTTGAGGTCTTCGCTCTTGCCCTTGAACTCCTCCTCCAGCTTAGCTTTTGAGTCTCTGAGTCGATTGTTGAGCGTCTCCTTCATGCGGTCAGAGCGCTCCTTGACAATGCTACTAATCCTGGCCTCAATGTCTGCAGCCTTCTGTTCACTTTCTGCGGCCTTGGCCTCAGCTGCTGTGATCTTGTCCTCCAGCTGTTTCTTTTCGGCCTCAGAAAGGCCAGATGCAGCAGCATTGGACTGCAGAGGCTCAGTAGTTGCTTCGCCTGTGTTGTCGACTTGATCGGCAGACTCTGCTGCAGGTACTTTGGCGGAAGCAGCGGCCTCTTGGAGACTACGTACAGCTTCGTCGCGCTCGGCGATGGCCGATTGCAGTTGGGAACGAAGGAGCTCGAGTTGCTGTTCTGTTTCCTGTTTTTGGATGCCAACGCTCTCGAGCTCTTGACGTGCATCCGCAAGCTGCTGCTCGAGCTGGGTCTGACGAGCTTCGTCTGATGCTGCCGATGTTTCCGCAGGATCTGGGGTTGGGACGGCGGCAGGCTGCTGGGTCGCTGCATTTTGAGCCTCCTGGACTTGTTGCTGCAACTGGGCTACCTGTGTCTCGTGGTTTTGCAGCTGCTGTTCGAGTCCGGATTTTTGGCCGTTCAATTCCTCTACTTGGGTCCGAACCAGACCCAATTCCTCAGTAGCCTTGTCCAGCTGCTCCTGTAGTTGAGTAACTCGCAGGTTGGCTTCATTCTTCTCTCCTGTGAGTCTCTTCGATCGCTCCTTGAATTGCTCTGCCAACCTGGCTCGAGTGTTGGCCCAGGTTGCCCGCTCAGACTCAAGCAATGCCTCAATCTCGGAAACCTTGTCCTTGAGTGGCTGCTCGCCCTCCTTCAAGCTCTGATTCTCCGTCTCCAAAGTAGCGACCTTCTCCTTAAGACCCTCCAGCTCCGCAGGGTCTGCCCGGCCGTACTTGGTGAGGATGCCTTCGGTTCGCTTCTGCCAGCGATCACGGTCCTCTTGCACTTGTTTGATCTCCTCCTCCAAGAATGACTGCTGACCCTTGAGGCTCTCGATCTCAGCTTCCAGGGGCTGGATCTTGGCCTCCATCTCCTCAACTAACTTAGATTTTTCCGTCACAGCGTCTTTCATCCTCGCGTTCTCATTACGGAGCATCATGCTACTTTCGCGATAAAGGTTAAGCTCATTGAGCTTCTCCATCAAATCGTGATGCGACATTGAGCCTCTATTGTTTTGAGATGCCTGGCTACGCTCTTGGTCCATCTTGAGCCTGGCTTCGTCGAGCTGGGTCTGGGTATACTCAAGTTGCTGTTGGAGCCTCTTTGCCTCTTGTGTCTTGAGATCGTATTGGACTTCGAGGATTTCCTTCTCACGCCTCAGATAGCTGTTGAGCTCGCGCAGTCCTTCGCTGACGTCACCAAATGCAACGGGCGACATCGCCTCATCGTTGTCTTCCGATGATCGACTTTGCTGAAGACTCGTCACCTGTGCTGTTAGACTCTCGAGTTGCTGGTGAAGGAGCTTGTTCTGGGCATTAACATCCTCTCTTCTGGCCTTCAGCTCCTGCATCTCTTGCTCCAAGCGTTGTCGCTGATCTTCCCATGACCCCTCGCTCTGCGAAAGTGCTACCTTGGCGGATTCAGCCTCAGCTCGCAATGAGGCAGATTCGCTCTTCAGCTCGTTGTATTCTGTTCGCAATTGCTGAACAAGTTTTGCCGCCTCAGCATGCTTGACAAGTTCCTGCTCATAATCCTGCTGGGCCTTCGAAGCGATCTCAGCCTGGGCACGCAAGTCCTGTTGGTGGAATCGCGCAGCCTCCACATGCCTAGAGCTTTCTTCCTTAAGACGGTTCAGCTCCTCCTCCAGAATGGCCTTCTCATCCTGGTATCGGCGGGTGACCTCTCCCTGGGAGTCTCGCAAGGATGAGAGCTCCGTGTTGGTCTGGGATAATTCAGACGAAACGTCATCGATGCGTTGCTGTAATTCCTTGATCTTAGCGTTCTTCTCCTCCACAATAGCTTCCATTTCTTGCTGATATTGTTCTTGTGAAGAACGGAGATCTTCCAAGGCCTCCTCGTTGCTCTGGCTGAGCTCTCTGTATTGCTCTGCCTGAGCTTTTGCGTTGTCTAGGTAGGTCTTCGCCAAATCGAGCTCACGCTTGAGATCGGACACTTCGTTGTTCAGATCTTCAATCTCGGCAGCCGCATCCTGCTGCTGTTGGCTGCTTTCCGCTGTCGAACCTGGTCGAGGTGTGGGACGAGGTTGCAATCTCCCGACTCGCTCCTCCGCATTGCGCAGCTCGACCGTTAACTCATTCACCCGAGCTTGGAGATGATCGCGGCTGGTCTTAGTGGCCACATGCTCCTCGCGAAGCTGGCTCAGACTTGCCATGAGCTCGTCAATACGCTTCTGGGCCTCCTTGCCCTCGTATTCTTTCCTCAGTTGGACATTCTTCGTCTCCTCTGCCTCTTGCGTGAGCTTCCTGTGCGTGTCGGCCAGTTCTCGCTCCAAAGTTTCCACTCGAGCTTGAGCTTTACGGCGAGCCTCAGATTCGGCCAAGGTGCGCTCATTCTCGAGAGATTGCTGTGTAGAGATGATATTGTTGAGACGATTTTTCTCCTCAATCAATGTCTCATTGTCCTTGGTCAACCTTTCGTGGATGTCGCTCCAAAGCTTCTTCTCTGCCTTGAGATTGGCTGCCTCGTTCCGCATGCTATCGAGGAGACCCTTGGCCTCGACGAGCTCCTCGGCAACCTGCTGAGTGCGAATATCTTGCTTCGCAGCTGCCTCGGACAGGATTTGGCTGCGCTTCTGCAACTCGACATTTTGGGTCTGCAGGGCGGCATAGTTGCTCTGCAGCATCTCTCTCCGCTCCGACTCAAGCTTGACCTCGCCTTGCAGCTTAATCTTGTCGGTCTGAAGCGAGTTCTTCTCCGACGTCAAATTATCTACTTTGGTGCGGAAGTCGGTGCGCACCCCCTCTTGTGCACTCCTGTAGCCGTCGAATTCGGACTGGAGTTTTCGAAGAGCCTCGTTCAAGGCCTCGACTTGCTCACCCGGCTCGATGGTGGAAAGCGGCAAGCGCTGGCTGTCGCTGAAGGAAGCTCGAAGCATAGAAGAGTCGTCTGCTACAGCTCCCCTCTGTTGAAGAATACGGCGGAACATGTCACGCTCTCTCTTGCAGCTCTCTATGACTGCCTTCATTGAGTTTGTTTCATCCGCCATGTGAGAAAGCTCTTGTTCCAGGCGCTGGACCTTGTCGTGATCCTCCTTGGCCTGGCGCTTTGCCGCGATAGCTTCGTCGCTGTCCATCTGTTCGGCCAATTGTCGAATGGTAGCGGCATTCTCTTCATTCTTTTGCTGCAGAGATTGAATGTCTTTGAAGACGACCAGTCGTTGGGTAATGAACTGGTGGGTGTCGGACATATCGGACAGGGCTTCTTCTGTGATCTCACCCCTGGACAGCTGCTGTAGGCGAATCTTTTCCTCCTCGGAGAGCTGATCCATGCCCTTCTCCATTGCGTAGATGTTGAAGACAAGCATCTGGATCTGAGTTCCCAGGTCTCGTACCTGCATGCGCAAGATTTTAGCTTCAGACTGGGCAGTCTGCAAAGCATTCTCAGCCTTTCTAGCCGCCTTCTTGGCATTATCACGATCCTCAAAGCTTTTCTGAGAGAGCTCCGACATTCGTGTAATTTCGGTTCGCAACGTCTCGTTTTCGGACTGGAGCTCCTGGAATTCGGGACCCTTGGCCTCGAGCGCGGCCATCATATCGTCAATGTCCTCGCGCAGCTTGTTGTTCTTGCGCCTTTCCTTGGCCAGCTCGTCCTTCAATTGGGAGACTTGGCCGATGGCCTGGGTGGCAGTCAGGGCAGACTTGCTGCGGATGGACCCAGGTGTGGCAAAGGGGGACGAAGGACGGCCGATGGCTGCGCCGTTTGGTCGAGGGGTTTGTGGTCGCGAAGAGGGCAGGGCAAACTCAGGTCGGGTCTGAAGCTGCTCAATCTGTGCCTCGAGTTGGGAGATCTTTTCCTCGAGCTCAGCATTGGCTTGTCGCTCCTGTTCGAGTTCGAGTCGTAGTCGGTGAATCTCGTTCTCGTAGTTGTCTTTCAGCCGTTCCTTCTCGCTCTCCAGTTCGCTCACTCTCTGCTGATGCTTCTTGCTGAGCTGGTCAGACATGTCAACAAGCCGCCTTTGATCCCCGAGTTCATGCTTGTAGCTCTCGACAGTGGTCGCGAAGGCGGCCTCCTGCTTCTGAAGTTTCACAAGTGCGTCGTCAGCCTTTGCTTGCATGGTGCTCAATCGGTCACGCAGTTGCTGCTCTCCGCGCTTGAGGGAATCGATATCGGCTTTGGCGTCCTCATTTTGTCGCTGAAGTTCGGCAATCCGTGCTCCTTTTTCCTTTCTATACTTGAGACCCTCCTCGCTCTTCGTCTTAAGCTCGGACTCAAGCCACTCGGAGTTCCTGCGGGCGAGAGTAAGCTGCTGCTGAAGCGACTCCTCACGATATTTCGCGCTGCTCAGTTGTCCCTTGGCATTCTGCTCAGCTTGCTGCAAAGAAGTGATTTCACGCGACAGTTCCGAGTTCTTTTGATGTTGCTTGGTCAGCTCCTCGGACAAGGCCTGGTCACGCTTGTTATTCGACTCGATGATGCTAAGACTCGTTCGGTTTGATGACTGTAGAGTCTCAATCTTGTCGTTAAGCGCCTTGAGCTCCGCTTCGTGCCCGGTTCCCTTGGTCTTGAGGGATTGCAACTCGTTCTCGAGAGAAAGTCGGGTTGTTTCTACTCGCAAAAATTGGGTCAGTTAGAAAGGATCTGCTATCAACAGTATGGGATGGGGATCGGGGTGGTGGTAGCTTACCCTCCTCCTTGAGCTTCTGGCGGGCTTCCTCCAAATCTTTAAGTGCCTTTTCCCTCGATTCTCGCGATGCTTGGGATCGTGACTCAGCGCCTCGCACCGCGTTTTCGAGCTCAATGTCAATCTGGAGCTTGGCGGCATACAACTCGTCGAATTCATGCGCCTTGGTCGCAACCGCCTGCAGTAGTGCTGTTACAAGGTCGAGAGTCGGCTCGGTGGCGAGACTCTGTACAACAGGCTCGTCGAGGCCAAGGTGGCCTGCGATGTAGCCAACGTCCACGTCGGCAGCAGCCATCCTGAGCAAGCTCAACTGGTCTAGAATCTCGTCATCACTCGGCTCGGCCAGGGGGAAACAAGGCGATGCGAAGGAGGTGTGCAGCCTAAAAGAAAAGCGAGATGCTCAAAATCCAAATTGCTGGGCGCCCTGGTTGGTGATGTGAAGGAATGAAGGTTGGGCTGAAATTGAAGGTGGAGGATGGAGATGAAGAAAGCGAGAAGAAGCTGACTTTGGATAAAGCTGCTTCGCGCCTGCCAAACACCAAACAATGCAAGCCTTGGGGTGATTTGGTTGGTCGTGCCTGCCAGAGAGCACAGGCCAGTCGTGCACAGACCACCTTAGCGCGCACAATTCGGTGCACAAAGCGTGCACGGACCGCGCTCACACGTTAGTTCAAATTATGATCGCTGCACAATTGAACACGCAGGTACCAGAACCTTAGTCATCATGCAGGCCACTGCGCCTACCCTATACCGTGTCTGTCTGACAATGAAGCCTCCACAATTACATGGATATCTGTTGATGCATGTTGTAACTTGAAGTCGCTTTGATCTGTATTATGTTTAATTCAATCTGTGTTGTATTCATCATTTTGCTTCTCACATTTGAGAGTATCTCAGACGCTAAGTAGACATTTTTCCAGACATAATGCTTGGGCGGTGTGACAAAACATAAAGCTTCGATCTTCTATTACTACCATAACAAAAGGGGCTGTTGCTTATTTCCTTTGACTGGAGTCAATAGACAGTAAATCCACCACCTCAGTTAGTGCTCCACTTCCTCTACCCGACATTGCATTGCTCAGGTAAAAATCTATCCAGCAGTAACCCATCATGCCAAATGTCGGGTACCTACGGCAGCCCTGTGGCTGATCTAATGGGGAGCTCGACACCGCATGGCGATTTCGGGTAGAATAGTGATAATTACTGATCAGTAACGGCCCCTGTGCTCTTAAATTGTAGAAGGGGGACAAGAAAGCTCATCACAAGGCGGCACCACATCAGACAATATACAATTTTTAAATTGATTCAATTTATACATGTGAATTTTTTATTGCCTTGCTCATCGTCATTGCCGTCGCGCAGGTTGGGCATCCATTTCATACGTCTCTACCGGCCCAGACTGCCAGCTCATGCCAGGCAGCTCCTGTACCGGCCTTCCATTACTGAACGGGGGAGGTTGGTATCCATTAACCGGGCTAGCTAGTTCCTGCGGGGCGCCGTAGGAGTAGACCGACACATTATCCCCAAGCTCAGACTTATACTGGTGTTGGGGTGCCAACTCTGAGTAGTGCTGTTGTTGCTGCCCTCCTCCAAGTTCGGGGCGTGTCGTGATCACGGCTCCCGGCTTAGTGACGCCCATCGGACCATGAGTGTTGTCTCCACCGAGCTCTGGCGTGCCATGATATTCGTAGATAGGTCGGTCGGGGGGCGAGGAACCCGGATTGTTATCCTTCTCCGCTTCCTTCTTGAGTTTCTTGCGACGGATGAACCAGCCCAATGCGCCTATCGCACCAATAGCCACAACGGCCCCGAGCACTCCAGCAGCGATGATGGCAGTTTGCGAAACTTTCGAGCCACCCTGGGTTGACGACGAGTTATTATTGTCGCTGCTCTTGTTCCCAGAATTATCTCCGCCTCCAACACTGCCGGTGCTGGAGCTCGTTTGAGTTGGGTTCGATGAAGTCGGTCCGGTACGAGATTCGATCGTGGGATATGACTCGGCGACGGATTGAGCAACGGTCGCGACGACCTTGCTCTCGGCTGCGCTGCAATAATACTCCAGGACGCTGAGAGCCGATGTAACATCTGCCGTGGCGGTGGAGCTGCAGAAGTACTTGACGGAGGAGGTTAAACTACTTGAGACCGAGCTCTTCATGCCTGATTTGATGCAGATACAAGACGCCAAGGCTTGCGGGCCAGGTGCGCAAAGGGACATTGTTTGCTATTCAACCGTTAGCAATACATAAACACTTCAGAATATTCAGCTAAGACGTACATATTCGAAAGCGCTTCCAACTGCCGTCTGTGCGCAGCCTCTTAGAGACTGGAATTGAGGAAGAGCAGAGATGTAGTAGGTCACTGTTGTCTGTTAGCGTCCCGCTGGTTTGTAGAATATCGGGGTGGCTCACTGTCTCCAGGCGGCCCTGAGGGAACAGCAAACGATGTCGTCCCGTTGTTCATGGCGCAATATTCGTGGTAGAAAGTCTGGGCGAAGCTGAGGTCCTCGGTGTTGGAGCAGTAATATTTGATCGAGCTCACCAGCGCGTTACTGACACTGGAAGTGACATGCGGTTTACTGCAAACGCATGGGGCATAGCGATCTGCATCTTTTGGGCATTTTGACATCTATTCTCACCAGTTGTCAGACCCCCTTCTCGAAAGACTCTGGTATAACCTGTGGTGTAAAGCCTACCTGCCCCATCACGGCAGCTGACAGACCCGACTGGGCGCAGGGCGCCATGTATTGCATCTCCGAAAGCTCGGTAATGTAGGCGTTGACAACGTTCGTGCTCGGCGAGGGAAACGTGATGGTGGAGTCGGGGTTACAGAACTTGGTGTATACTTGCTTCGCACTGTTGATATCATCGGTCGCCGGGCCGCCGCAGCTCGAGGTAAGGTCGGTTGTCATGGTGGCCAAGACCTTGTTGGATATAGCGGAGTTGGAGCAGACGCATGACTGGAGTTGAGTTGCCCCAGAGCAACTCGAGACCGAGGACTCGCGGTTTACTGCCCATGATAAGGCGGAGGCAGCACAAGGAGCCTACGTACGATGGTTAGATCAACAAGACTGGTGAACAATGACTGGGCGGTCAACGTACCAGTTGACTGAAGATTCCAATATCCGTTACATCTACCACATCCGCGGCCAATCCGAAAGGGAGGAAAGGCACGCAAAGCAGGACCGACAGCCTACTTAAAGACACAGGGGACGGCAACATGGCGGTACGTCGAACGGACGAACACGGCGGTTCCAGTACGAAGAGGATAGAGGCGCAAATCTTGCAGGAGACCTAGTCAAGAAGCGAGCTGGCCGAGAGAAGCGCGCACACATACCCTCTCCATCAACCTCCCACCCCATCCAGCGCCCAATTCAGCGCCGGCCTGACCCAGCGCGGCCATTGGAGAAGCAACGCCCATCCTCTATCGTTTTTCGACGCAAGTGGGGGGCCATCCAGGCACGCGCTAGACATGGCGTCTTGGCGAGGACATTATCGGCTCAAGTTATGCCCCTCAGCCGCAAATTACCCCTGACAGCTGAAAGAAAAGTGGTGGCGCGATGCATCGTGCTGAGGTGCATCGCGTGGGGCAGGCAGCGGCGTTGGTAGAGGCGAGTGATATCTCCGACGAGGTCGATGACGCCGTTTTATCGATTCGTATCGAGATGGAGCGGCGAAGGGAAAGGTTTCGGATGAGCGTCATGGAGGTTCCTAGGGAATTGACCCCACATCCCTCCACGATCGCGTGGATTTGGGTTTTGGAGATCAGTGAGAATCAGCGACAGGGCTGACCAGTGCCAAAACATCCAGAGAACCCTTGTCAGGGTCACATGACGAGCCCCAGTTCTCTCCTCTTGTCAAAAGCGTGGCCGAATCTTTGGAACAGGCTGACCCAGCACCCAAATATACTATTGGCGCTAGCCCAGGATAGAGTTAATGATTTCGATTGATTTCAGGGGCTTTTTTAAGAATTAACTCTAGAGATATACAAAAGAAGCTTGCTGCGTACCTAGGTAGGGATTGAGAAGGGCACAGGTATTGGTTGAGGCTGGAGGCCCTTTCTGAATTTGCCTACCCTATACATACATCAATCAATGAAAGAAAACCAATGTAACATGCTATGGCAGTTTTAATTGAGGGCTGGTAACGGAAATAATAAAGTCTGTTTGATTGTAGGTATACGCTTTTACAAGTAATTCAAAGTAAGTAATTACACTAGAGAATGGCGCACTCTGTGAACTATCGAGGTAATGTCTGCCACGGTACACAGCAATTTTAACCTCCCCCAAAGGGTCGGTGCTTCGGCATGAATGCATCGAACCTGCAGAAATCTATCTTTAGCTGGTTGACAGCGAAATCGGCTGCAACAAGACAAAAAAAGAGGAGAAAAGAGAAAACAAAATGACACCAATTCTATAGCCTAGGGCGTAAGGTCAGTGTTGCTGGATGAAGGGAATCTCCTCCCTGCTTGGATGTACGCAGATTGGCAGGTCTCATGAGCTGGTCACTTGACGTGCACCCACTGAGTTATGGGTTATGAGCCGTCAAAGAGCACATTAGCTCGCTCCTCCCGCAGCTCTTTGCATCGTGGCCCACCGTTTACAATCATACAAAGTGTGTGGTTGGATGCGCATCGCCGGCTTCGGTCCAGCAGTGGCCGAGGAAGACCACTACTTCTCCCCCGCAGCCCGCCTATAACGGCCGAGACAGTCTGCAATTTGTCCCTTTGCAGCGGTATCAACCAACCTGGTACTTCCCACAAGGCGTTATTCTACTGAGACCATGGCGCCTGCATCGTTTTCTGTCTCTGGAAAGACAGCCATAATCACCGGAGCTGGCTCAGGTACGACACCTCTTCAGTACCCTGTCGGGGTAACTGTGACCGAACGGCTGCTGGCCATCTACGTTTACGTTGTGTATTGACCACACTCACCAGGAATCAACTTCTCGTTTGCCAAGTTGCTTCTCTCCCGCGGATGCAATGTCACAATCGCCGACCTCAGTCTACGACCCGAGGCAGACGCCCTCATCGCCGAGTACAATGGTACCAACTCCAGAAAGCCCCGTGCCATCTTCGTCAAGACGGACGTGACCAAGTGGCCCGACCTCCATCGCATGTTTGACGAGACAGTGGCGGCATTCGGATCCTTCGACATCGTCTGCCCAGGCGCCGGCGTGTACGAGCCGCACTGGTCCAACTTCTGGCACCCCCCAGGCTCGGCCGAGAGCAAGGACCCGGTCGAGGGCAACCACTACTCGCTGCTCGACATCAACCTGACGCACCCGATCCGAGCGACGCAGATCGCGCTTTCGTACTGGCTGTTCCCTGAAAAGGCACCGCGCGTACAGGCATACACGGCCAAGGCGTCTCCTCAGAACCCCAAACGGGTGGTCCACATCTCGTCTGTCGCAGGGCAGCTCCCCGTCTTTCGCGCCCCGCTCTACGGAGCCTCCAAGTTCGCCGTGTCGGGCTTCGTGCGGTGTCTGGCGTCGCTGGACGATGCGTACGGGGTGCGTGTCAACGCTGTGGCGCCTGGTATCGTCAAGACCCCGCTGTGGACGGAGCATCCAGAGAAGCTCGTCAACCTGGACCAGAAGAACGACGGTTGGGTGACGCCCGAGGAGGTGGCCGAGGCCATGCTGGCGTGCGTGGAGCAGGATGACAATGTCGGAGGGACAATCCTGGAGGTTGGCAAGGAGCATACGAGGCGGGTGGGTGCTCTCAACGATCCTGGGCCGAATCTCACTCAGGGTTACGGCATCTGGGCCGGGAATGGTTCTGAGGGTGATGACATGGTATGGGACTGGTTGAAGAGCGGCGATGTTTGGGGGTTTAAGGGTCGAAGCAAGCTGTAGTCGGTGGATATCGCAATAGAGACTGCTCAATAGAGTTATTTGTCCACCCGAGGATTCTATGTCTGGCCATCTGCAGCTCCCAAAGTTTTTATCGGTGTCTTATCGATATCGCTGACTGATAAGCGAGCCCAAATGGTGCTAGTAAAATACATCGACACTACCAACGTGTTTCCATATCTCAACTTCCGATACGGCCATAATATTTTGAGACTTAAATTGCCAATAGATTATCAGGGGTGAGTATTCTTGTTGAAAATCAAGGTAAATCATTGTTTTAAGATTAATACCATCGATGTCACTGTTATTATGTTGCATGTAATTGATGTCGCCTCTACTGTCCCGGTTTTTCTGTCAGCCACTGCCAGCGCCCTCAACCTGCCGTAATAGTGGGGCAATAAGCAATCGGACGCCAAAAAAAAAAGTTGACTGTGAAGGTCGAGAATCACATCATGCCTTACTAGACCCTTGTCTCAAAGCGAAGTTTTATTACCACAGACCGGATAGCTTCCCATTTCCTTCACTCGAGCCAATCAAATGGGACCGCAATTGAAGAAGCGCAAGCTTCATTCCACCCCGACCGACCGCGTCACGAAGCGATCCAAGCCCTCCGCCGCCGCATCCAAATCGAAGCGCAAGGCCGTCGACGCTGCTGCCCTCGCGTGGGAGGCTGTCGATACCGAAGAGTTTGGCGGTCTCCAGGTCATCGAGGGCGTTGAGGTCGTCAAGCAAGGCAACAAGGTCCAGTTCCTAGTCTCCGAAAGCCAGCAGAACCCCGAGCATCGCGAGGCCAAGAACTACGATGAGGACGGGTCGTTTGAGGGGTTTGGGGATGACCCTGCTGAGGGCCGGGATCTCCCCAAGGGCAAAGATGGGGCTTGTGAGGCTGGGCTGGAGGCTGAGAGGCCTGGTAAGGACGGCAAGGGGGACAAACAAAAGCAAAAGCAGAAGCAGAAGCAGCCGAAGCAAAACAAGCAGCAGCTGGCAGACGCCAAGCTGGCGCCGAACAACTCGAAAAAGTCCTCTGCACAGGGTAACGCCTTCCAGGCCCTGGCAGATGACGACGCCCAAGAAGAAGAAGGCCTCGACATGGCTGCCTGGGTGGCGCTGAACCTGTCGCCCCAGATGCTCTCTGCCATTGCCAAGCTCAAATTTGCAAAGCCCACACTGATCCAGACCAAAACCATCCCTGACATTTTGGCCGGTGAGGATGTTATCGGAAAGGCCCAGACAGGTTCCGGAAAGACGCTGGCTTTTGGTATCCCCATCGTGGAGCGGTGGTTAGAAGAGCACGAGAAGCGACAAGACGAGCTAGACGAAAGTGACGACAATGCGGACGAAGACGAAAGCGCAGACGATGCCGAAGACGATGAGGACAGCGATGCGAACGGACGAAAGAAACAAAAGACCCCGATAGCGCTGGTCCTGAGTCCAACACGAGAATTGGCCAAGCAGCTTGGAGACCATCTCAAGGCCTTATGCGATGGCCTCCCCTCTGCCCCATACATCTGTGTCATCACCGGTGGCCTCAGCATCCAGAAGCAGCAGCGCCAGCTTGCCAAAGCCGATATTGTCATCGGAACACCTGGTCGTCTCTGGGAGGTCCTCGAGGGAGATGCAAAGCTCCAGGAGTCTTTCACGAAGATCAGTTTCCTTGTCGTCGATGAGGCTGATCGATTGCTCAAAGCTGGGCAATTCAAGGAAGCGGAAGACATCCTTGGAGCTCTGGATCGAAAGGATCCAGAGGAGGAGGAAGAGAGCGATGATGATGATGAGGATCTCTCCCCTAGACAGACATTGGTCTTCTCGGCTACCTTCGATAAGGATCTTCAGACTAAGCTAGCTGGCACTGGTCGAAAGCACAAGGGTGATGAAGACAAGATGGCCTATCTGATGAAGCGCCTCAACTTCCGGAGGGAAGCCAAGTTCATCGACGCCAACCCTGTACGACAGATGGCCGAGGGGCTTAAGGAGGGTCTGATTGAATGCGGCGCAATGGATAAGGTACGTTTCCCATTCCCAACATATATTCCTCGCTCAAGGTCAGCTTTCTAATTCTATTATACAGGACCTCTACCTCTACACCGTCCTGCTCCTCAACCCTAAGCAGCGCACCGTAGTATTCACAAACTCCATATCCGCCGTTCGCCGAATCACCCCCTTCCTCACCAACCTCGCCGTCAACGCCCTCCCCCTCCACTCTCAGATGGCCCAGAAGGCCCGCCTCCGCTCTCTCGAACGATTCACCGCCGCCGCCAAGGCCTCCGTTCTCATCGCCACCGACGTCGCCGCCCGCGGCCTCGACATCCCCGAGGTCGACATGGTCCTGCACTACCACGTGCCCCGCGCCGCAGACACCTATGTCCACCGCTCCGGCCGTACCGCCAGAGGCGAGCGGAGCGGCGTCAGCGTCCTCCTTTGCTCCCCCGACGAGGTCATACCCACGCGCCGCCTCGCCGCCAAGGTGCACGCCGAGGCCTCGAACAAGAAGGAGCACTTAATCCAGACCCTGCCCATCGACCGGAGGATCGCGTCTCGGCTGAAGCCCCGGACAACTCTGGCTAAGACGCTGGCAGATGCGGCGCTGGCCAAGGAGAAGAGCAACAGTGACGACTCGTTCATGCGCAACGCTGCTGAGGAACTGGGCGTCGAGTATCACTCAGACGACGAGGAGCTGGGCCGGGGTGGGCGTGGAGGAGGAAGGAAGCGCAAGGAGAAGGCGGCGCGGGAGATGAGCAAGGCGGAGATGGGGGCGCTGAGGGCACAGTTGAAGCATGAGCTCACGCAGAGGGTGAACTTGGGCGTGAGCGAGAGGTATATCACGGGCGGAAGAGTGGATGTGGCCGCTCTTCTCAAGGAACGGGAAAAGGGCACGCAGCTTGGTGTGTTCTTGGGAGGAGATGCGGCTGGCCTCGGATTTGATCTATAAACTACGTAAAATGAAGGATGGGATTCCTTCAAAGAAAACATTCATCAAACATTACATCATGACATCGTTGCCCTTGTCCGCCCATAACCGTTGCCGTATTTTAACAGTCCTTTAACTCCTTTGTTGATCGGCATCATTAATGACCAAGCTCCTCCTCCTTTATGGTGTGTCCGCCGTTAGTTGAAATCAAACCGTCTTCATCCCATTCCTTGTCCATGAGCATTCGGTAATACGCCTCTTTCCGTATTGTAGAAGCATTGGGGCTTATTGTAGATACGAATGATTTGTTGGTCTGCTGAGAGTCTGGCCCTTCTTCAGCCTCATCCGTAGTTCCGGTCTCGTTACATTCCTCCTCCCAGAGCCTTCGGGCACGCGCCTCTTTCCATAGTGTAGAATCCTCAAATCGACGCTTTACGCCATGTGTACCACGAGTAGGAGCTGAGCAAGGGGAAGACACATCGTCCCCAACACTAGGTGTAGCATATTTCTTCTCTGGGTAATTCGGCTCTGTGTCCGTTTCAACATTGCGAAATGGAGGCGAAGACGGTGGTGGGGCTCCAGAACGACGTGGGTTGATGGAGGCTGGCGGTGATTCCGTCCTTGGACGTGAGTAATCTGTCTCCTGCGAGTTCTTATTGCTGGAGGGGTTCATTACTGGCGGCCTGGCTTGTCGCAAGATATCCATCTTGAGATCATGGGCATAGGTTGTCCCGGAACAGTGCTCTCCAAAGAGAGATTTGATTGTCACATCTATTTACTTTGTCAGTTTTCGCGAGCATAGTTACTGGTAAGATGGGTTGGAATACCGTCTTTAAGCCATTCATCGATATTAACGGTGCAAGGCCAGACATCCCGTGGTTTGAAAGCAGCCACGAGAAGACAAAGTTCGTGGTAGGAGGAATGTCGAGAGTATGGAAAACGAACAACTCTGGGTAGAAAGGTTTCGGCTCTCTGGTCCATATCTGCACCCGTCTTTGACACATCAGTAGTGGCAGGTGCGAGCTGCTTGGCGATTGCCTGGATGACCTTGTCGATGGTGGGTGAAGAGGTCTGTTCCTCTGTGGTTGCTTGGAGATCGAGTGTTAAGCTACGCCCACTCAAGGCAACTTTGCTTAGAAAGTCTCCCATTTTATCTGCATCTATCTCACTCAAGTTGAGCAAGGTGTGAATCCTAGAAAGAAGGTCAGTATTGATAGGTGAAGAATTTACTGAGGGAAGCATTTGGCTTACTTCTCTTGCAAATTTCGCAAATCATCTGCAGACAAGGCGTCCAGCTCGTTCTCACGCTCCAAATCCTCACCTCCACCACCAATCCCGGCCTCAATCATCTCAGCGCCGGTCGGCATGCGAGCAATGATGGGTTGAATTCTGACAACAGAAGTTGCCTTCGCTGTGGAACACATATTCCCTTTCTCGCAACTATGGACTCGAACATTCTCGGCAGTGGTGAGGCAGCCGGGAAGTGGCGAGTTCCCACACATGTGACCTACTAATGCTGGTGCTTCTGGTGACAAGTGGGAGAAGGTATTCGGTGATTTCCCTGCGCCATTGGCCTTTAACGACTTGTATATTCTCATCTTGTAATCATCTACATGGATCTGTGGTGAAAATCAGTGAAGCTGCACTGTGAGAAAAGCAAGAGTCTCTAGCCATACCGCAGTTTTCAGGCTTTTTGCCAAGGCAACCCATACATCTTCATAGCCGTAGGTCCATGCTTGGAAATGGAATATGGTATCATCCGGGTAGCGGGAGACCTTTGCAAGAAGCTCCACGATGCCCTCGGCCTTGGTAGGAAATCGGACGTCGTCGATAAATGATGTGTCAAGATATATCTTGTCAAGAGTCTTCGAGCCGAGAGTATACTCTAGGATAGAGGGATTCCGCTGAACCGAATTGACGAACCATGGCTCGCTTCGAATATCTCCGGTATACAATATTGCTTTTCCATCACCTTCAATTACTACATGTCATCGGACGAAAATTAGTCACGCCGGCGGTAAAAGCCTCGTCAGAATCACATACGGAACATCACCGACCCAGGACAATGGTTTGCGTCCAATAGTGTCACTTGGATTTGATGGCCGGGCTGGAGCTCGATGCATGTTGGAGTGTCTAGTGGCAAGGGTTTCTACATAGAACATCGGCCGACTTAGTGAGAAGATGCCCAATTGAGCGCGAGCAGTCAGAAAGGGCAGGTAGTGTTTGCCTTACCAGGACTTTGTGGAGATGCTTGTACGTCTGCTGCCGGGTCTCGAGGATTCCCAGCGCATAATTAATGCGGCAAGGATATCTCTCGAGCCGGAGTAGTATCGCACGTGTCGCGGCTGAGCAGTAGACACTTCGCGGCTGGTGGATTAGCACTGAGGGATCGAGAACGAGGTTGGCGGGAGATGTCCTCTGGGACACTCACAACGGTGACCGGAGGGTCTCGAGCCCGGCCAGATGATCGCTGTGGACGTGACTGAGGAAGCATGCCAGCGGTGGCCGAAGGTGTGAGTGGGAGCGGAAGTGGTCGACTGCAGAGGCTAATTAACGGCATGTTCGCTATGGTGAGGATGATGAGCAGAGAATGAGGGAAGAGCTCACTTCTGATGTCCGGGAATTCGGCTACGAGGCCGTCAAATGTGGACATGGCCGCTGATCGGGAAGCTCCAGGCAGGTCAGCTCACGTTATTCTTGCGGAAGGCTGCCTTCATCGAGAACTCGGAGAGAGCGTGAGGTGGGGTATCAGGCAAGTAGAAAGCAGCGACAGTGGCCAGCAAGAGGTGACCTTCTGTGAGCTGTCCGAATCCCCTCTGTGTCACGGAATCGTGATCCAGGGCTGTGGATTCGGGCTCCAATTGCAAGGGATGATCGACAGGCACTTGGGAGGAGACGGAGTCGTTTCCAGGATTAAAGCGTGGGACGTTTGCTAGAGGAGAAAGGCGAGAACTGGGTGAGGCAGCAGTCAGTGTGAATACAGTATAAGCACAGTATGAGCATATGTGAATTAGGTGTAATTTTACAGTGTCAATTAAGAAACAACTACACTGTGTCTATTATCTAGGGTAGGCGTGAGTTGCAAGGCTGAATGAAGACCTGATCTGAAATCCATCTCCAACAATTCCATCAACAGGCACAGTGATGAAGGCCTATCGCAGCAGCAAATCAGTTCTCTCGTCGCTTCGCCCCTGCTTATTGAGATGTCTCACTCTGACGACCCTCCCCGTCCACCGTCTGCCGTCCATTCAGTCAGCGTGAGCCCTTTGTCTCGCCCGCTGTTCCGAGCTGCAGCACCAATCCCCGCCTCTTTATTGCAGCTTGTATGATTGCAGGCGCGCTGAATGGCGGCATGCGACGATGGGCCCTGGTCAAGTTCGGCGCTGGCCCGTTTGAGAGGGATCAGACCGAATGCTGCAATCTGTCCATTCTCAGATCTGCATCAGCAAACGCGCTTGCGAGTGAGCGAGTTTCAATGCGATCGAATACGGTGGTCTAATCATCTCTGTACCCTCGGCGCCCGCAGGACCCCAGGACCCGTCACCATGCAGGCCGAGATGACATATGACGTCTTCGTCGTCTTCCGCAGTGTCCCAGGGCCATGGTCAAACACATCATGTCGAGCTCACAAGGCACCTCGCTCTTGGGCTTGCACCGAGTCACGCCAGATTGCTGATACGGAAGTTACCAATATCCTTTCTCGCGCCACCGGAAAACATTGGCCAGTCAGACGGCCAATATTTGAACAGGAGCTCGACGTTGCATTTCCTGTTGACCCCTGGCATGCCCGTCAACTCCCGTGTCAAATTCCCAGGGCTTATTCAATTTAGGCCCCCCGACATCCAGGCACCGTACAAGCATTCCAAAGATCTTCAGTCGCGGTTAATTGCGAGCCACCCGTTGTTTTACAAATTCCCATGGCGTTAGTGGAGGAGATCCGTGCTATGCCAGAGGAATTCCGGAGCGCAGGCCCGCGCTCGGTCAGAGCCCTGCTTCATCCTCCTGCGGGGACGCGCCTCCGGTGCCAAATGAGGAATTTCCCCAACTTCTCTCCAGAGACCCCCACGAGCCAACTGAATGAGTCAGGGCCTGGGTGTTACAGGATGACTTCCAATTCTCGGAACCTTCACCGCCGCCTGGGGAGCAATGGGTCGATTGTATCAAGGTGGATGATGATGAGAGGACGGAATTTCACCGTAATCCGGAACCCATCCCATTCGTTGCTCACAGGAAGCAAGGCCCGCCCTGTGTCTCACAACCGACTGCCCCTCGTTCGTATTGGTTTCTACCAATGGAGTTGGCGTACTGCTGCATCTTGTACCTGTGGCATCGTGAAATAAAGGATCGTCTTATCTTTACATGGGCCGATATCCCTGTGGGAGCACTGCAAGTTTGAACGATGTCTTCGGATCAATGTGCTGGAGCACTATCCCGACGTTCCCGTTGACAACTGAGCCATTCCAGTCCCGGAGGGGTCTTGGCAGCTATGAAATCCTATATATGAGTGCCGGTCTCATTCAACATCGCCTCAGAACTGTCTAGCATATGGTGCCTTGAGCCTTTTTGAGAGCATCATTCACAATGCGGTCTCTAGGAACTTCCTCGCTTCTCCTGGCTTTGGCTTCTTGTGAGTGGCTCCTCAGCTCCAAGAATTCTTTGCTTTACTAACTGAACATAGTCTCGCAGAATGTCCTGGGTCAAAGGGCACCTTCCACGTATACAGACTCGGCCTCGGGCATTGTATTCGATACCTGGACAGAAAGCGGGTTGACATTTGGATTCGCTCTACCCACAGATGCCCTTCAAACTGATGCAAGCGAATATATTGGTTATCTGGTCCGTACCATCTTTAAATCTTTCCCTCTGTTGAGAGATCACCAGGTAGAGCTGACATTTAGTAGAGATGTGATACAGCAACCAAGGGGACTGGGTATTGTGCTCTCTCTCTAGGAGGTTCCATGACCAACAAGTTACTTCTCACCACCTACCCATACGAGGATGAGGTGCTCACTTCTTTCCAGTGGGCGACTGGGTATAGGCCTCCTGGGTTCTATGCTGGCGATGCGCAATTGACGCAAATATCGTCCAAGATAGAAGATGGTTACTTCGAGATTCTGTACCGATGCCAGAACTGCTTGAAGTGGAATCACAATGGCAGCCAAGGTAGTCTCTCAACAACAGCCAGCACCTTTTTGGTAGGCTGGGCCATCCACAGTGTGACGCCAACGGGTGCGAGGTGCCCTACCAGCATCTCGGCAGGGCAGCACAACAGTGCTGGAACCATTACTGGCACATTTTCCTCGAACAGTGCCAGCGAGAAGTACCAGGAATGGACTTCTCTCGCCGACAAGGTCGTTCCTGGTCATTGCGATGACACTCCATCTACCACATCTTCCATCCCAGGCCCAACTGGCACTCCCGTTCCTACTGATGCCGTATATGACTACGTCGTTATTGGAAGTGGTGCTGGTGGGCTTCCTGCCGCTGATAGACTCAGCGAGGCTGGCAAGAAGGTCCTCCTTATCGAGAAGGGACCTCCGTCAACAGGCCAGTGGGGTGGCCCAGCCAAGTCTGCTTGGAAGCCCGACTGGCTCGCGGGCACAGACCTGACCCGGTTTGATGTTCCAGGCCTCTGCAACCAGATCTGGGTGGACTCTGATGGCATTGCCTGCCGCGACACTGACCAGATGGCCGGCTGCCTTCTCGGTGGCGGCACTGCGGTGAATGCTGGATTGTGGTGGAAACCTTCTGCTGAGGATTGGGACTACAATTTCCCTGACGGCTGGAAATCATCTGACATGTCTGGAGCTGTTGAGCGTGCCTTCACAAAGATCCCCGGCACAAGAAGATCATCGCAAGATGGAATCCGTTATTATGACGAAGGTTACAAGGTTCTTTCTGAGGGTGTCAAATCCTCGGGCTGGTCCGAGTTCAATCCGTTTACCGAGCCAGAGAAGAAGAACAAAACATACACCGACGCTGCCTTCATGTTTATTAACGGCCAGCGAGGTGGTGCTCTGGCGACATACTTAGCCAGCGCCTCCGAGCGCGAAAACTTCGACCTTTGGACCGCCACGCAGGTCAAGAGAATTGTTCGCTCGGGTGGACATGCCACAGGAATTGAGGTCGAGCCTTACGAGGGCAACGGCTATGAGGGCACAGTCCAGTTGACGCCAGGGACTGGCCGAGTCATTGTCTCAGCAGGCGCCTTTGGTAGCGCCAGGCTTCTCATGAGAAGTAAGTTGAAATATGGGAGTTGAGTTTAAGAGAACAGGTTGGCTGATCATTACAGGTGGCATTGGCCCTCAGGACCAGCTGGAGATTGTCGCCAACTCGACCACCGACGGTCCGGTATTCATCTCTGATGATGAGTGGATTCTGCTTCCCGTTGGCCATAACCTCGAAGACCACACCAACGTAAGTTTTCATTTAATCAAGTCATTGGAAGATGTTAACGTGATGTAGACGGACACGGTTGTCAGCCACCCCAGCGTTAGATTCTATGATTTTTATGCCGCTTACACTGACCCCATCGAGAGTGATGCGCAAGCCTACCTCGGTGAGAGCATTATTTGCAGTCAATTATCTATTGCGTCCAATGGCTAATTTTATGTAGATTCCCGGTCTGGAATTTTGGCACAGGCCGCCCCCAATATCGGCCCTGTGATGTACGACGAAATCTCGGGAGCAGATGGCATCGTTCGTTCATTGCAGTGGACCTCGCGTGTCGAAGCAAGCTTCAACATTGAGGATGAATGTATGTGGAACGAGGCCTTACAAATTTAAGAAAGATAATCCGACTGATGAACGAACAGATGCTATCACCATGAGCCAGTATCTTGGTCGTGGGTCCAAGTCACGAGGTAGAATGACGCTCGCTGCCGACCTTAGCACGGTTGTCAATGAGCCCCCATACCTCCATGACCCAGAGGACATCGAAGCGATCATCACGGGCCTTGATAACATGCGTGAGGCGCTCTCTGGTGTCGAGGGCCTGACATGGCTAGCACCTGCTGCCAACCAAACCTCTCGGGAATATGTCAATGCTGTAAGTGCTGGCTTATGCTTCCTCTGTCTCACCCCCATCTCGTGGGCTTTTTACCCGGCTAACCCTCAATTAGCTGTCAAAAACATCTGGGCGTGGTGCCAATCACTGGATTGGAACCAACAAACTCGGAACTGAAGATGGACGTAAAGGTGGCGACGCGGTTGTTGACCTCAATACCAAAGTTTGGGGAACCGACAACATCTTTGTTGTCGATGCTTCCGTCATTCCAGGCATGGTCACACCCAACATCCAGTCCTATATTGTGTCTGTTTCTGAGAAGGCAACGGAGAGGATTCTGGCGCTTGAACCTGCTTCTGGTGGCTCAGAGGGCGCGCAGTGCGGTGGCCTCGAGTGGAACGGAAGCCATTACTGTCAGGAAGGCCTGACATGCACTCGCCAGGACGCATCCATTTCAAAATGTCAGTAGACCAAGCATTATTTTTATGCAACCCTGTAGTACGTGGCTTGATCTCGTTAGAAGGAAGACTGAATTGAATGCGCGCTGGTGTCGGCGGAAGGAGACAAACCACGATGAATCCCTCTTTACGCTTGCTAGTGATGTATTCATTCTTGATTAATTATTCACTCTAGACAATTGCCAATATTGAAAATGTGCTGCTATGCCACCCTCAGCCGTACTGTACACCCGGCCTCACAAGTCCCATCAAAGGATGCGCCTCCATATCCTCCCCAACCCCCAAGGCGCTCGCGACATCTTCCTTCAGTACCATCTCCAACTTCCCCTGATTGTCCAAGTCTCGGACTACAATAGGAATGGCCCAAGTTTCGGCACTGCCAACTCCTGCACCAATGTTACGCATCCTTGATTCCGGTGGCGGCCTGGAACGCATCGCGAGCGTCACAAGCTCGCCCCAACTCTCCCACCGCGAGCTGAACCACGGCCTCGGGGTGAAGAAGAGGAGGCAATGATGGATTACCACAATGAAAACATGTATACCAAGGATGGACATGGAGAGAGGCAAGACGAATCCCCCGCCGAGGAAGTAACCGTACAGGTGCGAGGAAAACGCGAAGTCAAGGACCTGGTCGTCGGCGCCTGGAGCTGTATTGGAGTCGGTCCCTTCAGCGTCCTCGTCCCATAGACTCCATCCCTTCAGGTCGGTAAGAGCGTCTACAAAGTAGATGGAGAGCATCTCTGGTAGGAAAGTGGCGCGGACGGTGGAGGTGCTGCCAGCTTTGCTGAGGAATCTCATGGCACCCTCGTAGATTTGAATGTATGCCTGGTTTTCTGTTGCGTTATTGTTTCCACTTACGGTCGCATTTTGTGCGCCTATCCGGTCTAGCCAGCCACTGCTCATCTGGATCACATTCTCAGATGAGGATGTCTTTCTCATGTGGCTTGAGATATTTTTCTTGTCGATGCCCAAGTCTGTCTGTGCACCAACTGCCTGTCCTGTGTTGACCCAAATGTCTGCCTCCATCCACCGAGCTTGGGTTAGACAGAGGTTATAGACCAAAGTGCCGTTCGTAGGTCCTGATTCCACCTTCTGTTGTCCTGCGAGTAACATTGATGCACTCAACGGTTTGTCGATACGATCTTGGAGGTCAAGAGCGGCGTAATGGGATTTGACGTCCTCGCCACGGAATGATGCCAGTGATTCTTCAGTTAGGTCAAGTGTTAAGCTGAAACCGCCAAAGGCATCGTCGTCAATCCACTTAAATGCCAGAGAATCATTGTTCGACCCCTCCGTCTCTGGCTCCCTGCAGCTGACGACAACCACAGGTTGCTTCCACTTTTGTTCCTCAGAATCCTTGATCTTGGCTTCGATCTTGAAGTCGCGATCGGGGTAGGCCGACACTTCGGCGCCAGCCCGTGAAAGGACATAGGATATGCCATACATCGGCCCCGTCGCCCAGGCTGTTTGGGTTTCAAATCCCTCAAATGAAGAGTACTCGATTGGCCGGAACGGAGCCCATCGGCCCAGCCGGGTCACTGGGATGCTTGTTTGCGAGCGAGTGTTGCCGGGAAGCAGCGTGATCGAGGCCCAGAAATTCTGCATCATGGGACTGACATCGAAACACCCAGTCTCTTCACCGAGTGCAAGTGCAGACAGACAGTCGCCGGAACCAAGAGGCGCATCTTCCTCGCCGCTCCCAAGAGTCATTTTATATATACTGTTGTTCAAGTACAGAGTTCCCAAATCAGCCCCGAAATGCGTCAGATTTAGACTGGAGGCGATCTGATCTGAAGAAGTGGTAATCTTGACAGGCTGCCAAAATTCTCGGGGGATCATCGTGACTGCCGACGTTGGAGCTGCACCGATTCCGATGAGTGTGAGCAAGATTATCGCAGCGACGCTGATGAAATGCGATACTTTGTTGCTGACTGGATAGACGACCGTGCCCCAGAACTCCCAGCTGAATAAATAGAGTAAAGGAGCAGGCAGATGATGCGCCGAGGAGAGGAAGCCTAGGGGGACTCCTTCCTGGCCCAAGAGGCCCCATCGAACACGGTGAAGAAGAATGTCGCTCAGCGAGACGACGATCAACCCTTCGTGCGCCTTGGCTGCGAACTGAAGTATGCCGAGGACCTCGGAGCCTGGTCCAGGAGGTTTCCATGTCACCTCACGTAGATAGAGACAGAAGAGACTGATGGTGACGGCGATTGAAGGGAGGTGAAATAAGAGGAAGTTCACCAGACCTGCGTGCCTCTTGTCGCTCCATACTTCCTTCTTTCCTTCCTTCCTGAACGTGCCGCTTCGTGATATTTCGGGCGAAGGGGAGCACGGTTTGCCCTCTATTGGGACTGACAAGGTAAGTTTGGGGCCTCTGAGCCCATGGAGCATTCAGCGAAGCTCGAACTTACCTTGATCATACCGGTGATTAGAGTGATTAGAGTCATTGGTATTCATATGGAAGCCGGGTGCGATTGACCCTGAGTTGGAATGAAACGATGTATGATGTTCAGGTCTCTCAACCGCTTCAAAATACTGAACGAGAGTGGCCATCAGGTTAGCAGCAGGCATACTGGTTTTACATTGGATCTCTTTCAAAATGCGGGATACGTACTTTGTCTACGGTCGGAGGATGCCCGTTGAGCCTTTCAAACTCGAAGTTGCTATTGGGATGGCTCATTGCGACCGATTCCCCAGTTCAGGAACATGTCGGTGATGTGGAGGCAAGGCCGGGAGACAACATTTTTATATTTTGTTTCTTTATTAAACAACTTCAGTTCTATATATGGATCGTCCAAATAATGCCTGAATAGCTATTTTAGATTGCGACCGCTACGTAGTTGGCAACGAATAGCAGGCAAACAACTGTCTGATGGCAGCGCGGTGATTCCTCAAAGGGGATACAAAGTTGCGAGGACCCCATATTTCTGACGGCTGAAAGCCCAAGATGAGGACTATGTCAGCCCCTAATGGCACCGATGAGTTAGCCAGGGGCAATTTTGTATCTCTCTTGGCGCTTACTCGTGCTAGAATGGTACTGAACCGGGCATGATTCCCCGATCTGGCTGGTTTACGAGCGGAATCCTAGGCAGTATCGCCATGCATAAAAGAACGACGGCCATAGACATCGAGTCATTGCATCTTGTTAGAAACTTTGATGATGGTCAAGTCTTGGAACTTAAATTATTCGTCATCGGTATGAGAAATTCGCATGATAGTTGTTTCTGGTTTGCCGGTAGTATTTAGAATCGTGCCCTGCTCTGGCTTAATTTCAGGACGTATTAGTCGACTGTCTTTCTATTCCGTGTTCCACTGATATGAAAGAGGGTTGATTGGAAGCGCATGACATATGATTGGTACATTAGAGAAGCGTCTCATCAAGGTTGTTCCAGCCCTCTGGTCATGTGTGAGATCCGTTTATCTTTAGCGCTTGAATATGAGACTGTCTTTGTTGGCGGAGAATGATGACTTCTTGTTAAGTAGACGAGCAACAAGACAATTTCGGGTTGGATTCTGGATGAAACAAGTTGGACTTCTTTCTTTCTTCAATTGCAACTTATTTCTGTAATTGGGGCATTGGCCACATGTACGCATTCATTTTCATCTGTCTGTCAATAGTCAATTAGGGCCACCAATGAGCCGCTATCATAAAGACTTCATTGCTAAAGCCCCTGTGACATGTTTGGAGCGACTTTCGACCGATGACGTAGGATGGTATACGTGTCCTTCAGAGTAATCAGCTTACGGAGAACTGTCTCTCTTTGTGTATTATCTGGCCAGGTGACAGTCAACGGCAATCAGCCAAGGGACGGATTATGATGGTCTCACAATTTGGATGACTTTCGGTATGTTTAGGATTTAGCTTTGACTCAGAAAGCCGTTCTCTCAGTTGCTAGTACGCAGAAATTGACTCGGCGCATAATTAGTTTCTCTTCTAGTTGGGGGTGTAAGTGTGAGCTTAAATGCTAGGTGAAGATAATTCGCTATGGAGGCATTGGAATCAGGGAGCTTTAGCGGCAAAAAGAGACACAAGTGCCGTTTGCCGGGTCTACGGTGTTCGAGGCACCTCCGTTGGAATGCGCCAAGAACCATAAGATCTCAGATGATCGGGCAACTTGAACTGCGGTCCATGGAAGGTCATCGTATGAAGCCAGATCAACGTAATATAGCCCTTTCTGGACAATCCTTTGCCCACCAGCTGAGTAATATATCCAGTGATATATCGACAACATGGCGATATCTGCAGCGTCTAGCTGTTTTGTCCGGTGCTGGCCTCACATACAGCTGGATCTTTAGTCCTTAAGTTGGCAATTATTGCTGTGATTTAGCGCCTGAGCCCTTCCACCTCACCTGAGCCAAGTGGGAATGAGCTGAAACGATCTCCATACGATGGCGGATTTTGGCCAGTAATGTTGGTTTAAATGCAGTAAACGTGGGACATATCTCGGTATGCCGAAAGTATCCCACTCTATCTAGCCTCTTGGGGAATTATTTGCGCTTCATTGGAGCTGAACTTCTCTTTAGGGCATCTTCAGGTGCCTTAAACTCGGCCCGTTGTGGTCCCATGTGACAGCCACTACTAATGACGCTGCATACATGTAATGTTTTGAATCTTTGATGTTAAACAAGTGCCGGTGGCGTCGGTACAAGGGAATAAGACCCTGGACCGATCGCCTTGAGCATTCCGCCATGTATTTAGATCCTGGACCACCCTGCTTGAACCTGTCCTGTAAAGGGGCTGGTAATGGTTAACCCTGGGCCTTTCTGACTTAGCTGTAGCCAGCATCATGTCACTCCCTCCACCACCTGGCAGCATTGGCCAGCGGCTAATTCCCTCTCTCATCGATGAGATTGCCGAATCAGATCCCGGGCGGGTCTTCTACTCCATTACCAGAACGAACAACCCTGCTGATGGATTCCGGAACATCACTGCCAAGCAGTTCGCCAGAGCCGTCGACCGCTGCGCATGGCATATCAAGGACAGACTGGGGCAGGGAGAAGGATTTCCAACACTCACGTACATGGGACCGCAGGATCTTGTCTATGGCATCATAATTATAGCCTCTGTTAAGGCCGGCTACAAAATGCTGCTCAACTCTCCGCGAAACACTCTGGAAGCTCATTTGCATTTGTTTGAGAAAACTGACTGCAACATTTTCCTCCACCCTCCAGACTTTGTATTGCCGGCAGTGAGGCAAATTCTAGAGGCAAGACCGATGAAGGAAGTAGAGATCCCTTTATTGGAACACTGGCTGCAGGATGGCCCTCATGAGCCGTACCCTTACAACAAATCTTTTGCCGAGGCGAGGCTGGAACCTTTTGTTGTGATGCACACATCCGGCTCCACGGGTCTCCCAAAGGCTATCATCATGACTCATGGGACGAATTCTCCTCTGGATGCTTTCGCGTCTCTCCCTTCCCTCGGATTAGCAGATACTTTCCCTGTTCTATGCAGGGGAACTCGAGTATACTCAGCCTTTCCGCTATTCCATAGTGCCGGAGTATGTCTCCTTCTCCCCGCATCCATCTATGCTGGCTTCACAGTCGTTCTTGGGCCGTTTCCGCCTTCTGCTGAGACTGCGAATGCCATGCATGTACACGCAAACGTACAACATAGTCTTATACCTCCGACCGTCATCTCCGACCTCACAAAAACACCCGAATACCTCGACAACCTGGCTCGCCTCGAACAAATTGCTTACGGTGGCGGGCCATGCTCAGCTTCTGTCTCGGAACTCGTCTCTACCAAAACCAGGATACAAAACACTCTTGGATCGACGGAAAGTGGTATGCATCCTGTCGAGCGCTGTCAAGATCCTGCGTCTATGAAAACGAGTCCCGTGTTAGGCCACGAATACCGACACTTCTCTGGAGAGTTATACGAGCAGGTCATCGTGCGAAAGCCAGAACTCGATTTGTACCAGGGCGTGTTCTGTACGTTTCCGGAGTTGCAGGAATGGCCCATGAAGGATCTGTATTCGAAACATCCAACAAATGAAGGGGAATGGATACATAGAGGGCGAGCTGACGATATTGTCGTGTTTTCCACGGGGGAGAAATTGAATCCAATCGATATGGAGGACATCATCAAAGAAAATCCTCTCGTGAGCGCAGCACTCATTGGAGGTCAGTGTCGATTTCAATCATATCTGCTTGTTGAGCTCTCGCAACAACCGGAATCCAAGGAGGATAGGGACCAGAGATTTGAGTCAATATGGGATTCCGTTAAGCGTGCGAATCAGATTAGCCCATCCCATGCTAAGATTCACAAAGACATGGTCCTTTTTACGACTCCAGAGAGGCCAATGCTACGAGCTGGCAAGGGCACAGTTCAAAGGCAACTGACACTGGACATGTATTCGTCGGAAATCGATAACCTGTATAGCGAAAATAATGGACAATCCTTGCGCCAGACAGAAAATTGCAAGGATCAGAGCTTGGAAAATGCCATCGAAGAAATTGTGGCACAATCGACCGAGATAAATGTTGCTACATTGACCCCCGAAACTGATCTTTTCTCTCATGGATTGGACTCACTGCAAGTTAGTGTAATCGCGAAGAAAATCAATCAACTTCTAGCAAACAAGGGGAAGCCTCTCGCCTTCGATACGAAAACCATTTATAGAAACCCCTCGCTTCAAGCATTAGTGGCTTCAGTGTCCACTGTCCTCAACGGAGAAGAATCCAGCCTCGAGGCACCCCAGATTTCAATGCAGGAAATATTCGACAAATTTGCAGAAGACATCCCGATTTCTGCGAGGGATGCACATGAAACCACGCCGGGAAGCTTTGTCTTTTTACTGACCGGGTCCACCGGCTCTCTGGGTTCGTATATCCTGGACGGATTACAGCGCAAGCCAGAAGTCAGGCATATTTATATCCTCAACCGAGGACCTGGAAGTTTAGACCGACAAGAAAGATCACTGAAAGCGAAGGGTCTTCATTCCCTGACAAAAAAAGGTGACTTGTCTGGAGGTTGATTTGTCTCTTCGTCATTTTGGTCTTGAACCACCGACGTACAAAGAGCTCATACGAAATGTCACGCATATTGTCCACAACGCCTGGAGAGTTAATTTCAATCTTTCATTGGAGTCTTTCGCAGGACAGATCGCTGGTGTCAGGCGCTTGATTGAATTTTCTGTTCAATCACGACATGCGGCACGAATTCTTTTCGTCTCAAGCTTGAGTACAGTATCCGGCCTCTCCGGACGTGTTCCTGAGGAGCTATATACCGAATGGCATACGCCACAAGACATGGGGTACGCGAGATCAAAATTCGTCTCTGAACTACTCCTGGATAGGGCCGCCAAAGAATCAGGGATACCGGCTGTCATTTGTCGTGTCGGCCAGATTGCTGGCCCCACGACATCGGACGGGATCTGGCCTAAGCAGGAGTGGGTTCCCAGTTTGATTGCCAGCTCAAAGTACTTGGGAAAGTTGCCCGAAAGCCTCGGAGAAATGGAAGTGATTGAATGGATTCCCGTGGATATACTTGCTCAAGGGATTATTGAGCTCGCCACCGCCAGGACGGATGGTTTAGAAACCGGAGCTCGAGTATATCACATGGTGAATCCAAATCAAAGCCTCTGGCGTGACGTTGTCTCTACTATACAGAAGTACTTTGAGCACAGCGGAGTGGTCATACAGATGGCGAGTTTCAAGGATTGGGTGACCGACTTGCGCGAGAGCTCTTCGAAGCTTGAGGATATAGACCAAAACCCGGCATCTAAGCTCGTCTCATTTTACGAAGGCTTACTCGAGAATACAGAGAGGAGCGTTTCTTTAGATACAAAGACTGCAGTGAAGACGTCTCTCAGTATGGCAGGATTAAAGCCCGTGGGAAAAGAATGGATGACAAACTGGATGCAGCAATGGAGCTTTTGATTTTATGTTCAATCCTGGGATGTTAGAGAGTTAGATTTTGCAAGTTTAGCATCATAGGATGTATATACACTTCAGCCCTTTGTTCCTTTCCACGCCCCGTATTCCCCTAGCCACTCAGTAGCTCGCTTCAAGAGCTCGCTCCACTCATCATCCTCTTCTTTGGTCTTTGCTGCTGATTTTTCTTGTAATGAGGCAACAACTGGTGCCAGCTCCTCCCAAGCCGAGCCCTTTGGCACTTTGTCCATGACAAAGTCCAAGATATGCTCCACCAACTCCCCATCATTGAGGTCACCAGCACACATCTCTTTGATAGTACCAACAGTAGCTTCAGGGAACCTCGAAAGTTGTTTGTAGCATCCAGTAAACGGGGGCCAGTTGTAATCGGCCAGCCAGTGAAACAGTCCCTCCATGTGAGGTCGCATCTGCTCTGCCGTCGAGACGCGTTCCGCCAGAGACCTTTCCGCCATGTAGTCGAACTTGTGTTGGGGAACCCAGACCAGCGTTGGGTTACTCATGAATTTTAGGACATCTCCCGCGCCGCTGGTGAGACCGTATAGGCCTTTACCTGGGGGTGGTTTAGAATTGTCGCTTTTGGAGAGGATTTGCAGTGCTGACTCGTAGGGTGGGAGGTCCTCGAGCGGCAGGTCATAGATGTAATTCAGGGACTCCCAAGCTTGTTCGAACTCCTCGTCTGATGTAATTGGCCTTGTAATGGCGGAGCATACGGAAGAATGATTTCGCATGCTGCGAGACGCTAAGAGCGCTGGCGAGCTTGACATGTTTGTGTGTTCTGGGCCCAGGATGGTGGGAGTAACAGGCGAAGATGATTTGGGAGCTGATTGTGGGCGGGGCCTTGTAATATATTGCAAAAATGAACAGGTAAGCACTACTGCAGCAGTTTGAGAATAGCTCAATAGTACCGGTAGCCCCTCAATGTAGAACATGCCTGTCCACGCTATACACGGGGAAATGACTCATCTGAGCGTGAGGCTGAAACTCGACAGACGATCCATTTGCACTCTGGAGCCAAAGGGAATTACTAGCATCAGAATTCGACGAGCTGCCAATAGCCTTCTCGAACAGGGGCAGCAGACAATGTTTATCAAACGGGAAAGACTAAAGGCTAATGTTATTTCAACGCCAGAGCTTAGGCGATACGAGACAACATGGCGTGAAGAAATTCTGCTTTGATAGTTGCATACATGATTCTGGAAAATTGTAAACCATTCAATTCAAGTTCTATGCTATTGCTAGATGTAGTGCGGTCTTAAACATTCTATCTAGATGGAGCTGCGGAATTAAGAAATGCAAAAAAACAGAAAAGGAAAGGAAAAAGGGAAGCATGGTAGAGAAAAAAGAAGAAACAGACAGATGAAGCAATGAGACTCCTCGAAGCGCCCGGCCGGCGCTGTGTCGTGCCATGTGATCGTCCCATCCTATCACACCCGACTGGCAACATGGGCCGCGCGACCATCTTGATGCGCGGCAATCATATCTATCTCGCTCTCCGAAGATGAGCTAATAGGGATGCCCTTTGGTCGATTGAAGACGAATCCGGGGTGGCTGAACAAGAGCGCCGCGCCCGAAAGAACAATCAAAACACCTTCAAGAACAATAAAAGGGATCTCGTGCTTCATCATCTCCCCATGATAACCATCGCGGAGCTCCGCCACTCGGTAAGCAGAACGTGCCAAGATCAAAATGACAGCGATGGCCAGGCCCGAGAGGAAGGCTTTGATACGCCAGTTAAATGTAGATGCTCGCCCAGTCATCCAATACCGGATCATGTAATCGGTAAACGCGACACTGAAGAAGAACAGGACGACAACCTGCAGCACAAGTCCAGCTAGTGAAACACCAACACCAACATCAGGGTCATCAAGGATAGATGACAACGCGCCACCTGCCGACTGAAGTATAAGGCAGAGGATATCAAGAGGGAGAAAGATCCAATAGAATAGTTTTGGCTTGAATCTGGAAAGACTGGGGTCGAAGAAAATGACGGTCTTGGAAAGAGTGACGTATATCGATGCCGTGTAGAAGACGGGGGCGATTGTAAGGCAGACTAGGCGACAAGACTGTTGTTAGTAGATGCAGGATGCAATGGGAAGTTGAGAGTTGAAGCAGGGCTTTCATAGACTTACGCGTCTGCATGATGAACGCCGCGAAAGAAAACGGGTCGTTATACATCATGATTCGACCACCATAGCCGATGATCGCCGAGACCGAACCAAGCTGCATGCCCACCATGAACCCCCAACTTTTCCATCTGAATCCTAGGTATGTATGTATCAGGCCCAGGATGCCGAAGATTATTGGAAGGGCAATATTGGCAACTAAAGATGGTCTGTATGTGTAGACACTCCATTCGATGGGGCACAGCTCAAGAGTGCAGTTGGCATCTGGGCCAAAAGAGATAAGTCCGTTCGGAAGTGTTGCCATGATTGCTTGCGTAGAAAGACAATATATCAGCGAACGAAAGACTCGACACTTGCAGGGATTGCTTCAGTGGGCGGCTCTTCGGCTTGGAGAAGTAACACTGTTTGTTGGGTTTTAAATTTGCGCTGTGATGAACGAAATAAATGTACTGAATTGGAGCTGGGATGTCCTTTTATATATGCATTAATGAATCTTGTCTAACAATAGGAAAACTGTTATGCGGAGTGTGTCGCTGAAAATGCCCCGATTCTGTCACCAATTGCCATTCCACTCGGACTCGTTTTTCAGAGTCCGCCAGTGCGAAGCCAAACTCTTGCACTGCCTCCACAGCGTCGACATCGGCTTCGAAATGCATTGATCCCTGAAATGGGATGTGGGGGACAACCGGGTTTACTCGTCAGCATAGTTGCGGCTTGGTGATGAGCTGCATCCCTCAGCGCGGTTTCCCCCCTATCTGTCCAAGACGCGTGTCTTCGGGACAGATTCCCGCGCTGCTTGTAGCCTTATTTGAGCTGGGGTGAAGATTCCCAGAGGATCCTGTCAGACGGATTGGACCCGTCAGAGAGGCTCAGGTCATACCCCTGGTTCCCGAGTGCGACCTGCAACCCGATTGGCCATCACGCCTCCTTGGTGCTTGGAAGCACACTTGAACCCAGGGACAAATCTGCTCAGAAGATTACAACTTGTTGGTTGCATCATGAATGAACCGTCAGCTTCATGGTGATATCCACTGTCCACCTAAGATGTTACGTGTTGAGACACCACAACGACCCCTGCTCCAAACACAAATAGCATTTGCCCCTGTCATCTAAAAACACCAATCAAGAAATCGTTGTATTTCCTTAGGTTGCTATTTCTGCTTGGAGTCGGAATAGGGCTGTGTCGTTGGCCCTAGTTCTGCACACATCGAACAGCAGGGGCAGACGCTTGGCCAGTTGTCATTATGCTTGAAGGTCGGCGGTTACAGGGCAGACACGTGGAAGCAAATACCTATCACGATCTTCCTTGATTAGTAGTGTTTTACCACAGACGATGTGGTTGGTATGCTTCAGGTCCGAAAGCTTGCCTGCGTGTAAAATTTACTTTTTGTTATTCTGAGCTGGTTATTGGTCTGCTGATCCGGTGGTAGATTGTTAGACTGTCCGAACAACCAGGGCCTAAAGATCTGCGTGGCCCAGGAATAAGCGCAAGCTACGTGAATCAGCCTCACCAACGAGCTCTGTCTCAGGAGACTCTTGGGCTTCCTTACAGTTCCAGGCCCTGACAACCCAAAAGCCCTCTCTGTTATCGCCAGATATCTAGTTGGCTCAAGCTTAGCGAGGTATGCAGCCCACGTTCAGTGACCATTTGGCTCAGGCTACTTGTGTGCACGCACTTGCTCGAGGGGTTCGACGGCTTTGAGTCCGCCTGCAGTGTGTGGTCCGAGATTCACGGCTGGGCGTACTCAGTAGTCGGGATTCTTGGAATGGATAACTTTAAAGATGAATATTTTAAAATGATAAAGAGGAAGGTCAAAAAAGCAGACTTGGATCAGACATTCCTTGTGCTGCTGCTGTGATATCCTTCTCAATCGCATCCTTAAGATCTGATCTTGTTTGGACAAATCCCAACATTTGCCACATATTTCCATTTATATATGCACGGATGTCGTCCTCACTTGCACTGATCCTGCACCAATCCCAGCCTTTGAAATTCAGCTCGATATCTGGATTCGGCCTTGAGGCCGCAAACAGATTTGTCCTGGTTAAAAGCTCGTTTAGAAATGTTATGCGACAGCCATCCTTCACTTGACATTCATCGAGTGCATCGATTATAATAAACACTCGAGAATACATAGAGGCAACCTCATGAAGAGTTTCTGCAACTTCATTCGACGTTGGCTTTGTTCTATTGGCCTTCAGTGTATCGGCTTGAAGCAGTCTAACACTGTCTAGGAGAGACGGCCGATGTTGGCATAGTTGCTTTAGGAGGGTTGCAAGTAAGTCTTCTGCCCTTTGTTCATCATTTCGGCGGAAGTTGCAATAGATGTATGCAATGCCAATATTTTGGTTGTTCTGATACCGCAAGGTAAGATCCTCAATAATGGTAGCTGTGAGGATTGTCTTCCCCGCACCCGGGATTCCGGGGCAATATAATATATCCTTCTCCTTCTCTACCCAGTTCTTGTATCTCATAGAATTCAAGAACCATTTGTCAGAATTTCGTCGTGCTGAGGTTCATAGTCGATTGGTGTGAGCCATTTGAGGATATCAAGCCCTTCTTTCTTTTCGATCTTTTCTCTCGCACTGATAACTTCTTGCCGTACCTCAATAAGAATCTTTAGAGCTGTCGAATATTAACATGCAGATATTAAATGTTAAGTCCCATAGAGATTGCTCACCGGGCCCAAGAACATCCTTCGCTGTTCGCTCTGCATGAACTTCGCTTGTTTGCACGTTCATCAGAAGTTCCTTGGCAAAGGCCGCCGCAACCATTGCAGCATATTCCTGCCAGGTTTTATTCTTCTGTGGGTCCGCGTAGTCACAAATTCCTCGAATGACAACGCATGGAAAATTGTTCATCAAACCAGCCGCTTCCATTTCGACACAATACACATGCCCACCAAGATCCCTGTCGAGTTTATCTCGGAAGACAGCGTCCTTGATTACTTGATTGCCGGACGCAATCAGACCATGATGCACTCGTATCTCCCTAGGTCTCCTTTGTTCTCTGTCAGCAGCGGGGTGTGGTAAGTTTTCTACTTGCTCAGTTGTATTTTTCATTGTAGAAAACGTTTGAGCAAGACAGATATCGAACCATAGCCAACAAGCTAGCCCAAATTATTGAAAGCATAGCTTGCCATCTTCTGGAAGCATCATTTGGGCGATCTATGGTGTCCAACGGATCTATCAGGGTATCAGAACGGAGATACTTCGAAGCCAGATTCGGCCATTTCCGTTTGACTTCATCTAGGTACTCTGGTACTTTAGTCCCTTCCAAATCATGTTTGGTTTCTAACTTGGTCAAAGCTGCCCCAAGTGAGGCGGGTGGAGAGTTCAATGAACCCGTCCTCTCGAACTTGCCGCCTTCATGAGCCTTCCCGAAGTCCCACTGAACCACGCCAGAGAACTGGCCTGAAGGTGTACCGACAACCACATCGCCAAGTCTGACTTTGGATGGAATGCCACCTCCGATGCCGACCATGAGGCCGATCCTAATAGCAGGAAAAGTTATTATCATTTGTGTGGCAACGGTTGCTGCCGAGCTTGTGCCAATCTGGCCTTTGGGAAGGCAGGCTATTACAACGTAATGCTTTCCGATGCGTCCCAGAGTGTACCTATTCGAGTCATTTGATGGCTTTGGTAAGTCAAGGATGTCTTTTATCAAGGATGGCCGTCGCAGCGGTTTGTTCCTTAGGCAACGCGCAGACCCATCCTACAGTGTAATCGCCATGTGTTATCAGCTTGTGATGGCCGTCATCATCTGCTTTCGCCTTCTCTCGATCGGCTGTATCTACTTAGCCCTCCTCTGCTAAGTTAGCATTGTCCATCATCTTTTGGACTTCCAGTGGGGGTTTTTTTTTTTTTCGCAGAGGCTTGCTTGCTCTCGGACTCTTGTGCCAAATCGCTTAGGGGGTGGTTTTTGGTCCTCCAATCTTGATGAGAGAAGTTTTTGGGTATCAAGGAAACAGACAGTGAACAGATAACAGGATCGCAGGTGGCGTGTAGTTCCAATGACTTCGGAATTTAAGATGGTAGTCTCCTGGCCTGAGAGATCCCCTTACCCACCTAGGGCATCAAAATATCATTGCCCGAGTGGCAGAAAAAGGCGTTAAAGTAGAGGACGGGGAATCTGACAAAATTTGATCGTCTCTGTTCAATTTGAAAGACTGCCTCGAGCGGGGAAGAAATCTGCCTCAGCTGCACTTTTCATGTCAGCAATGGTTTCAGAAATCACAAGCACCAATGAAGCGGCTTGAAGCCATGCTGGAATACACGTGTCAGTATCTAGGGAGCTGGGAGCATAGAGGCGCATAACTCAAAAAGCCTCCAACAGATTTCGCCCTGTTTGCAAAGTAGAAACCTGCGTTTACAACTTTTGTGCTGACATCGATCGTATATTCGCTATTCGGTGACTTCGACCCTGCTTTCATAAGCACTCAAATTGCACTCGCAAATCAGATATGAACAGCTGTTATTAGTGCTCATGCCAAGTGGAGGATCATGTGCTTATTTTTAGCAAACGTGAATACTGGGCCAAAAAATTCGTTGGCCGTTGGTCGTGATCGGGTTGTTGTTTGCCTACCACGCCGCTCGTTTATTTCCCAGAGCTCGTGTCGCCGCTAATGATTTTCCCTTTTTCATCATCATCCTTTGACAGATAGATCTCTACGAAAATGGCTTCCATCCTGGACCTCCCCATCAGCATCCTCGAGCAGATTGCGGAGGCTTGCACTTGGGGTTGCGATCCCACCTCCGACTCCCTGCCGGCATCATATGCACGGAACCACGCGGCGCTTGCACGCACATGCCGTGACTTGTACGCAGTCCTCAACGAGGGACTCTACAAACGAAACCTCAAGCGTGATCCACGCCGGGCGTCCTGCGTCCTGTGGGCGGCCCAGAATGGGCGCTTGGATACAATGAAACGCGCTGTCGAGTACGGTGCTGATCTAAACTCTAATGGTGTTTCCGACCAGGAAGAGGACGGCTTTGACTGGAGTTCGAACTATGGGTATTTCACAGCCCTCTTCGCCGCTGTTCATCTCGGCAACCGAGACATTTTTGACTACCTGATGGCCCAGGGAGTCGATTTCAATGTCCCGTGCCAGGGCTGCCCTTGCGGTTCTCCGGCCGGGGGATGTTACGCGATACATCTAGGCTTTCAAGAGAACCGTCCCCATGTCAAGAAAAAAGCCCACCCTTACGCAGAGGCTCTCATCAAGAAGGGAGCGCGCCACTTCTCTAAAGCCATTAGACTGCAGCCGGTCGACCTTGTCAAAAATGGTTATGATCAGGCTGTGGTACTTGAGGTACTCGAGGAAGTTGTTGAGTTGGAGAGAATCAAAGCCTTCTATTGTGCCGTCGGGGCGGGGCGCTATGATCTCGCGAGAGCCATTCTACTAAAGTATCCCAATTTCGATCTGTCGAAGCCTGTGTCAGACTCTCCCCCCTTGTCGATAACTGGCATGACTATAATTCACCATCTTGTCATGTCGATTGAGGATGATTTTGGCTTTCTAGAGCTGCTTCTTGACCGGCCTGAATTGAATGCCAACATGGAGCTGGAGGATGGCAACAACCTTCTGCTACTTGCGATGCTTAGCGGCGCAGTTGAAACTGTCAGGATCCTCACTTCGCGCCCAGAGTTTGAGTACAAGGCTAACAAAGCCGGTACAACGCCATTACACCGTGCTGTTATCCGTGGTAAAGAAATGACTGATCTTATTTTGAACTTGCATGGAGTCGATGTCGGTGCAGTGACAAACCGGGGAGAGACAGTTCTCCATTGTGCCCTCGAGCACCAGAGAGAGATAAAAGATCTCAAGATAGAAGAAGAACTCCCAGAAGTAGTGCAGATGCTTTTGGACCATCCCGACATCGACCCGCTAGCAGTAACCAATGAAGGAGAAACTGCCTTACAGTACGCCTGTGGTCATAAGAGATCCGATCTAGCTTTGATGCTCCTGAAAGATCAGAGAATCAAGGAAGCCCCTACTCAAGTAGGTCTTGGGCATCTCAACTTGCTGTTCACTGTTGCGATAGAGGAGGGCTCGCCCGAGGTGTTGCAGGAACTTCTGAACTCGCGTCCTGAAATCGACATTGATGCCCAAGACGAGAAGGGCAACACGGCGCTTCACGCTGCCTGCAGTAGAAATGGGATTATACCCAGCAAGAAAATCGGGGACAAGTTCTTTCCATACCGCATCAAGGAGAATCATATGGAAGACCTAGTCCAGGTTCTAGTTAAAGGCGGTGCCTCCATGGATCTAGTGGACGACCTGGGCCAGACTCCTGTTCGGCGCGCTCTAAACCACGGTCAATTCCGCATTGCAGCATGGATGATATCGGAGGGTGCCAAACCGCCAGTCGCTGGAAGTATGTTGGACGCGGCCTTCTTGAGGTACCGTGAGCGTGCATCCTTTGCTATGTACATTGAGGTTGTCAAGGAACTGGCCGCCCATAGGATCGCAGTCAAGGTCATAGATGATCTCCCGCCAACTGAGCTTGCCTGGTTGGTGCAAGACATGAAGACTCTGGATTCCTATTTTAACGGTATCCCGGACCTCGGTCTGCCTGAAGCGCCCGGATCTCAAGGCGTCCTCCCAGTCGGATATTATCTGGACGGTTTTGAAGAGCTCGAAACTCGGTTGAAGCCCGAATGGGTCATATATATGATCCAATATGGAGCTAGACTGGAAATTCCGGTAACGTACCCGAACGGAGACTCGGAGTCGCTACTGGCTGCCTACTTCCGGGCTATTGGGGTAGGAAATGTGGAAATGGAAATGGACCCAGACAAGCTGAGGCTTTTCATCGAGCCTCTCGTTAAAATGGGCTACGCGTGTGGTCCGGTAGGCAATCTACCGTCAGCTTTGGAGATTGCGTGCCGAACGGATGTAGGGGGTGAGAAAAAGTTGTTACAAATAATGATCACTGCAATGAGGGAAAACAATGTAAATAGACAGCATGTCAGGTTCCTCATCTCCGAGTATGAGGGGGATGACGAGGTAACCTTCTATCTGAGGCGGTTTGAGCAGCTCGAGTTTGGGGATGAAGCTGGTGAGAGTGACTCTGCGGAAGAGGCCGACGAGAATGACTTTAGTGAAGAAGAGGATGAGTGGGAAGACTCTGTTGATGAAGGTGATTAATCTTTAGTTAGTTGAGCATTCAATAGTCGCTCTCAGTAGCATACTTCATCGCGAGACTGAAAAAGTTAGGAAAGCTTTGATCCGGGACTGGCCAAGTTGGCTGCAATAAAAGTCTTGCAAATAACTTTTCGGTATCTCGATAAACACAAGGCCCTCGTTGTTTCAGGTCAACTCAAAACAAGGCCTTGAATAGGCTGGTTTAGGTTTCGTCCGGTCAATAATCGGATTCTATCCATGACCGCGCCGCGCAGTGATTCTTTCTGCTTTGGATATCGTCCGACAGAACTGTCAATATCAAGAATCGCTTCTAACACATATTCCCTCCCCCGCTCGTCCGCAAACTCGTAGCTCATGCAAGCCCCGTCCATCATGATGATAGCGATGACTGGCTCAAGCGACTTTATTGCCGGCATCATCTTCCACATTTCAGCGCTGACCTGTCGCGATTCGTCTATGACGGTGCTGTCTTGAATGCCACACATAACATCCAGGTGGTGTAGTACACTCAAAGCTATCAGTTGGCACATAATCATGGCATGATACAAACCAATGAGATACATGGAACTGATCTGGTACCGCTTGCCTGCCACAAAGGCTGGATCAAGTTCCTCCTTGATGGCACCGTCCTCGATCCATCTGGCTAGCGAATCGGCAGCGGCTTGTCGTCCCTCGTTCTTCATCTCGTGTAGCCCTCGACGAACGGAGTTGGCCATTTCCATGTCCTCCGGGTTACGAAGCACCTGCTGAAATACGGCAAGCAGCTTGATAAACTTCTCGGCGCAGGTATATAGCATCATGATATCACTCTCCAAGAACGGACGGCTTTCCAGATTGGAAAGTTGTGAGCTTGCACACTGGCTTAGAGCCTCCTTCTGTGCAGACGTGAGTACGGTCATTTCCTCACATGACCCAGGCCAATCCCTCAGCTATAACTTGAGTTAGCACAGAAGCTTGAGTGATGCAGTGGCTAAGCTATGGATTGAAGGTGGTCTTACTAGTAGCGCATGAACTTCGTTGGTGAGCTTGACGTCCAGCTGATCATCTGGATTTGGCAAAGTCTTCTGAACGAATACTTGTCTGATTCCTTTGAGATGAAAATCTAGGCTCTCAGAGTTTAGGTCAAACAACCGCGCAGTTCGTTCGAGCAACGTCATGGCAGCCAGGGTCTCAATTCGGTGAGCCTCTCCGTTGGTCAACGCCTTTTGCAGACTGCGTAACAACTTGCCGTATTGCGGCATCGCGAGGAGCGGTTTACGTGGACGTTGAGACCGAAAGCCCGCCCATGCAGTGCAAAACAAGTCAACTGAGTCGCGCAAGCAAGGGCTCTCCGCTATCCGCTTCGGAATCTCGGGGAGATAACCCATGAATGTGGTGACGACTTCTGCCGGACCTCGCTCCAGTGTCGAGGCGAGGCGGAGGCCAACGCGATCAGCCACCGTCGTAGGGTTACCCCGGGGAAGGGTCATTTGGAGGCGTCCATATCCCGCGGCCGCATCTTTGACGTTGGAATAGTGCATCTTGCGCATGTAAACCATGGGCGAACTCGGTCTACTGACAGCGGTGTCATCTGCAATTTCAACTCTGGGAGCGCCGCCAGTGGTCTTGTTGATAAACTTAAACAGCTTTGTCGGCCCAGGGCAGTCAGTCTTGATTCGCGTACACTGTCCACACGAGGGCCAAGTCTCATCGCACTTCCAAAACTCAGTCAGTCAATCAAAATTGGCCTTGTGTGGTGGCTGAGAGGTACCTTGACTTTCCTACGCTTGCAAACTTGACATCCCCGCGACTTTGGAATGCCGGTCATCTTTTTGCATTGGGATGCCGCTCTCGAACCTATCGAAAAGCATCCAAATGAACGCTATGGGGGTTTCTAGGGCGTGGACTGAAACCCTGTCGTTGATTAGTGTCAAGAAAATGAACCTGATTTCTCTTGACTCCTGCTTTGATGAATTGTGAGGGATTGGATTGAGGGCTATGACGAAAAGACCAAGGAGTTTCTTACTAATAACCCACAGTTCTAGCGCATTCACCTGTCCATCTACTTGTTGGACTGATAGCGTGAACAAGCGTGTATTCAACACTGAGGGGTCTTAAGATTTCCTGGTATTTTCATCCTCTATTGTTGATCCAGGAAGTTCAGAAGTGAGACGAGCTCACTGCCTGTTCATTTGAAATGGAATGTTCTAGCAGGCAGAGCTGGGAGCAGGGTTCACCGACATGTACAGTGAAGGTCACAGTGTTCCATCTACAACCACATCGTAGATTTAGAGGTGGCCAATTGGCTATCAGGAAGTACGCATTCAAAGAGATGTCAATATCATGTATGGTTATTCGTTTGAAATTGGGTTGACTACCACTATTTTACTCTGCCTTTCTTTTTCCCTTCTTCTTTGCCGTACTTTGCGACACAACTCCCAACCTAAGCCGGCAATTACTCGCGCAAACTTCCAGATGCAGTAAGGCTTTGAAACCTCCTCGCTTCATGCCTGCGCATTCGATGTTTTCTCTCGGTCTCAAGGGCATCGACCAATGCTAATATGGGATTCATTTAGTCGATAGCCGAATTGCTTTCATCCAGGTCACTTGTTAGGCTAAGCCATGCAAACACCTGCTCGGACTGTCCGTAGCCGCCCCCACCATTAGACTTACTCGTGAATTCTTTCTTTTATGATTAGCATGATCCATGTAGAGGAATGTATTCAATTCATATGAGGAGAGGCTGGGGATTCAGAATTGATGTGGGATCGCCCTACCCAGTATGCCTTGGGGGCTATGCACAGCCATTTGGATTGGCTTGCTAGGCATTCATCCGATCTCTAGTATTTAATGAAGTCCAGGTAGATAGAGCGGACTCCCAAACCGGAAAATTTATACTTGGCTTGATTGCAGCATGAATTCGTCGGAGAAGAACAATAGTCGCGTGGCACTGTTGGACCAACAGCCCCAATCATCATGACAAGTGATTGACTACAGTAACGCGAAAGATGATGGACAATACAAATAGAACTAATCGATTCGAAAGCCCAGTGTATCGATTTCCACACCACCGGTTAAAACTGATCCTAAATTGATCCTGATGACGTCGATAAGCCCTTGACCCCTACATTTGGTGAGCAAAAGTGGCGAACACAGCCGCCAAGCTCTCGGACATTGCCTCGTTTGTTAGCACCAATTATGCTTATCACTATTGGATTCCCTTGACACAGCAAAGATCGTCCTCGACAGCCATACCCTGTCTGCAATGACGACAGTTGCTCTAGGCCTTCAGGTTCAGTTAAATAAGAAAGAAAACCGTCCTGTCGTTCACCAGATTCCTAATTCTCGTGATAGACCTCTTCTTCGTTTCTTGCACTCCAATGACTTCGACTACTAGCATTGCCACGCCTGCGAGCACCAGCAGCATCCAGCTGTCTACAACGACCTCCTCGCTATGGATACCTGGCATACATGTCGCCAATGCAACAACGGAAACGCTATATGCGTCCGTTGTAACCCGTGGTGTGAATCTGAGCAGCATAGAGTACATGCTTACCTGCGAACCGACCCCTGCGTCATCTAGCTGCGCTTTGTTCACTGGGCAGACCTACACCGTTGGTTCTAGCAGTAATGTGACAGTTGAAATGTGCGTTTAAGTCAACTACTAAGGCCGGATTTTCCAAGCTGGCATTTGTCCTCTACCGGTTCCTGTTCACTAATCATTCTTGCATATAGGGCTGGGTCTACATACACGTGTCGTCGGGGGCGTTCCAGTCAGAGGCGTCCCAGCAGACCGCGAAGGAGCGCTGTCTGCAACGTGCAGTCCGGAACGAATTCAGCCACAATCACCACGGTAGATGCTACGCAATCACTTGCTTGGAGCACCGAGGCTTCAGTAGCTTATACTCATACGCCAAGTTCGTCGTCTACCCCCAGACCTACATCATATATTTGCGACGACGGGAAGGCCGTGACGAACCAAGAAATGTGCTCTGCTGGCACTATGATCAGAGCCAAGTACACAGCCGGTGTCTGCGCTATATTGGCCTTATCTTGGCTTCTTTAACAATAAACGATACGATTTATGAGCGAGCGGTTCTTCTTAAGACGGGGATGGGTTCTTGTTTACCAGAGCGGGCATGATTCATAGCGGGTGGGAGTATTGCATGCACAAGTTAGCCTAATGAATTTATTCTTCTTTGGCTCCTCTTATTATTCTTGATTTTATTTTCTATACTACCTTATATATATACGGATTTCCACGCGTAGCCCGAGTGTTTGCAAGAATCAGCGGTAAAGGTGCATTCGCATAGTAAGAAAAGACATTTCAATATACAATCAAACAACAGAGTCCGACAAGACCCTGATTAGGCAAACATCTGGCTGCCAACAAAAAATCATCTCAAAGCGTAAAACACGATCATCGCATACCTACTTTGAGGAGACCTTGATTGGTAGTATTGCCTATGGAGAAGGCAGAACTTGGACGCACTTGGCTCTTGAGCTCGTCGACGCTCCTGAGCTGGCTTGATTCGTCTTCCACGGAAGGCACTAGGTGAATTGAAGCCGCGTAATCACTTAGACTACCTTAAAGTAAGAGTACCTTAAGGTACCTTAGTTTGAAACAGGTGACGCTACCTGCCTTCTAAGTATCTATCCAGTGCTATCGATGGAAGGTACCTTACCGATTTCTGCCTCTTACCTGTCTTCTGCCCTTCTCCCCTCCCTCTGCTCTTTTCACCTTTCACCCTGCACCGTTGCACCGGGCTGACGCTACGCACATCAATCAGCCTTAAATTATTCACCAGTCGTTCAGCTGATCTGCTTGCAGTCAGGGCAACTGTGCTGCTCAAGCTAATTTTATTTGTCGGGCACTTACTTGACCGCGCTGATAAGCATTACCACTCCTCACGTTCCGCGATTCCTTCCACTAGAATTACGCTTATCAATGCCTTTTTCACGACAATTTCCGCCAGAAATCCTGGCCGTAATCATCAAGGAGGTTGAGAGATCCGACTTGCCCAATATTAGGCTAGTCAACCGGACGTTGAGCTACATTGCAACGAGAGAACTCTTCTCGACCATCTGTCTGTATCCGCACTGGACGGGGGATTGCTTACTCCAAGTCCCCGGACGGGTACATCCCAAGCCATATAATTCCATCCTCTTCAGACAAATTGTCGGGAATCCTGATATCAATACCCATGTGCGAAGCCTAAACATTTATACCTGTGATACTGACTGCGTAAGCTGATGCTCATCCTGCTCCAATTTGTCGGTCATAACTAACCATCAAATTCCAACCAAGGATGGAGACCCGAACAAAAGATATTGGTACAGTGCAGAATTCACACCCACGTGGCACGCAAGTCTATTTCGGACGCTGGATTTGCCCAGTGTACGCCATATTGCTCTGTGCTTCGATCGCCATTGTGGCAGGCCGACAGGGCTGCTAAACGACCATTCTGTCCGCAAAGATATCCTTCGCAAATTTCTGGTTATATTGGAAGTCGGCCGTTTGCGTGGAAAGGTGCTGGATAGTCTGACGCTCCGACATTTTAAGAGTGCCCTCGCCGGCCAGCTCCAGTACCTTGGAGAATATGGAGAGTTGCTAGGACGACTTCGGCGGTTCTCTATCAGCGTCGTGCATGCGCCTCGGGCTCCAAAGGTTGGCCGTGATCCTCAGGTATGCTATGTGATCTTGAAACATGTAAGAGATCACGAGAGCTGACTTGCTAGATCTTTGACTGCCATACATTTTGGAACCCATTCCCGCCGATTGTTCTCGAGCCAATGACTAGCGGACTTCAAGAATTAGTGCTCTACTCCGATATCCCATTTGGATTCATACCCAGGATTGACCTTTCGTCTATACATTTTCCCTATTTGAGATCGTTGACACTCGGACACTTTTCCTTCTCGCATAACTCCGAATTCGGTTGGATCATTTCACACCGTGCAACTCTTCGGTCCCTCTCCTTGGATCACTGCTTTATAATACCCAAGATTGAATTTTCATCTAGCGGCTGGTTGGATGAAAACGGGTATCCCAATCAAAACTCGGCGACATTTAATCCTGAACTTCAGAATGATGAAGTCGCAATCCCAGCTCGGTATGTTACCTACGCAACGCGATGGCACCATATCTTTGACCAATTCACCGACGAACTCCAATCTCTACGTCACTTCCGTTTTGGTACCAGTTGGGGATGGGACCCTTCACACACTTTCCCACGGCGAAATCGAATAAGACCATTGATGCCGTTTGATGGAAACCCCGAGATCCAGAATAGAATCTTCAACGAACGATACCAGGATTTTACCGCAGATGGCCTCAGGTTCGACTCTAGAAATTACATGAGAGGAACCCCTCCGTGTTTTCTGGAGAGACGTGAGTGGCTTATGTGCGATCGTCTGGATCATGAAGCCTTGGCTCGGTTGCTGTTACAGGTCTCTAGCAATAGGCGCTGATGGGAAATCAGAGACCCAAGCATAGCCACATCGTGCAATTATAGGCTGTTGGGATATTGAACTTGTTAATCGTGGTAGTCGAACCCAGAATATGATACTAATAGAATTCCTAGATTTGCATACTCATAGGTAAACTATCATCCATAGAGTGTCTAGCTTTTCTTTGCAATCACATACTGTTATTCAGTGGAGGCTTTGCTGCCTAGGCGTGTCGTTATCAGAGCCAAGATAATCACAAGAGCACTAGTGATTCAAGAGAGCCGAGAGGGGACTCCATCAACTTTGTACGAGTAGCAAGAGATCAGTTCCGTAGCCAGTGCAACCATAGGACTTACTCTCTCTCATTATTTCAAACTTCTACGGAGGCAAAATCAAATAGTAGTGGGCCGGAATCAATGTCACCATTCAGAGGTTCCACCTCATTCATTGAATAAATACGTAAATCTTCAAGGGGTGTTGACCAATCCCTATGAGTCTAGCTTATAGCCACCTGAGCATCGGTGAAATGCGTGATAGTAGGATTGACATCAGTTTCCCCTGCCTTTCCGTCACATCCACGCGCTCCATCAAATCTCAAATACGTGCCGGAAGAACAGGCGATGGCTAGCTCAGCATCACCACCGACAACTATCGAACCAGACAGGTTGGCGCCGCCCTGGATGAGAGCATTGTCCTTGACCACGGCATTGCCACTAATGGTTGCGCCCGAGTTGACCCAGGCCAGCCCCTCGATACGAGCATTTCCACTCACAGTCGAGCTTCCGTACACGGCCGCTCGTGGACCGACATATGCAGTTGAAGCAACCGTTGCTCGGCTGCTGACCCAACCGCCGCCGTTGCTATGCCAGCTGCCACCAACGGCCGCTGGCTTGGTGTAGCCGGCTTCATAGCCAGAGGGCACCGCACCGCTGATACCGAACTCATATGGGTACCGATACTGGTTGGTGTAGCCGCTCTCGAAGCTGTACTTGTGCACGGTTGAGGGCGCGCCCACCACAACAAGGTAAACCTCCTCGCCGGCCTTGGTCTGGAACTCGATCTGACTGTCAGCTGCAGTGTAGATCGGTCCATAGCGAGGGGTCTTATTCGTCACACCGACGAAGCCGTAGCTCCAGCCAGAACCCGCAGCACTGTTCTCATGGCCCTTGAAGTGGAGCTTGATTAAGGCACCGGAACTGCTAGGCACCAGCTTGATCTTGTTGTAGCCGTAGTCGGATGGTGCGAGGGCTGTTGGGACGGCGTAGTGCCCGGCGTCCTTGTTCACTGCATCGACGGCGATGCTGTTGAATGCATTGATGAACTCGTAGCCGTACACGCTATCCATGAATTGCTGGAAGTGGGCTTTGTTGGTGTAGTCGTATGTCACTTGGTGCTGTCCATACTCGCCCATCCGCTCATTGAACTGCTGGTGAGTGAGGCCAGCAAGTCGCTCGTAGGTTTGCAGAGGATGCTCGGTGTTCTTTGCCTCATTCCACAGGCGGTTGAAGATTTCAATGTTGTTGTTGTTCTTGTCGACAATGTACTGAATCCACATCCAAGCGCCGTAATGATGTCTGCTCGACGAGTACGCCAGGTTCTCAGTACGCAGGAAGCGAGTAAGATCACCGGCTCCGCCATCGGGATAGACCTGCATGGCCATATATTCGGCACTGGCTTCCCAGAAGGTACCCGACGACGCGTCTGTGAAACCGAGTCCGGACTTGCCCAGGAACGCAAGGTTCTGGAAGACGTGTCCGAGCTCGTGAGCAAGACCCCAGGAACCAGGCAATGCAGCACCAGGAGCAACGTTGATCACGCCCACTTTGCCTTCGGCACTACCACCTGTAGCCCATCCATCCAACTCCACGCGGTTCCATGTTCGGGTGATAATGACAATAATCTTATTCTGTGCTAGAAGGCCGGCTTCTGGGGTGAATTTCATGTCATTGACATAGAATGAGTAGAGTTTCTCGAGCTGGGTGATGATATCATCAGGGTCGAAGGCATAGTCGGATGGTGCTGAGACTGGGTTGGTGCCAGACTTCTCACCCCACAACAAGACGAAGTTGTTTGACTGCTTGGTACGGTCCTGAGTCCACGGGACTTCGCCGGTGCTAGCCCAGGACGAGGGAATGTAGACTTCTTTAGCGGCGGCTGCATGTCCAGCACACAATATTATTGCCAAAAGGGCTGGGAGAAACCCCCGACGAAAGGTAGCAAGCGCCAGCATTGTGGGCAATTTTGTTCGCACTGGTGATGGACCAATCAATGGTAAATCATGCTATGGGGGTGAAGTCTAATGAAACTATGGCTTCCCGACTCTTTATACTCGAGTTCGATCGTATCCTGTCCCATTCTTGGTCGTCGGATACGAAGGTCATCAAATTACGGATGCTACTTCTCCGCTCAGCTATTGTGGTTAGCTAGGAGAGCTTGGCATGTCTCACAAGGGTTTTCAACACTTTTCGAGACAAGGCTCAAACATGGATGGGGTCACTCGGGTCAGCACGCCGATGATCGGAAAAATCAACCGCCGTCAAACTATGTAGAAGAAACAAAGCAGTCCTCCTGTCAAGTTTTACCTTCCTGATTAGTCTCTCATGGATCTCGGCCTTTGACAGCGTTGATGGATTCCAGTGTACTAGGTAGCTGCGATAAGCGGCCCATTCATAACTCATGGATAGGTAACAGGTGATCATCCCTCGGGAGGCTGGCCGGTACAGGATGGCCTAGATTTCGGCTTGGAAGGAACTAACGCTTATCGCTGCTTCTTGGGGAATGTTGCTACCTTAGGATGATGTGAGTCCGAGCCATTATTGTTGGTTCTGGCTAGCGGATACGCCAGAATCAGCGAGACATCCCATACCCAACAAGATGGACTTGATCACCTTACGCGTGAGCGGCAGGCCTATCTATCTTTCTGGAAAAGTCACTAAGTCCATCCGTTTTGCTCGCTGTATAAAAGCAAGAAAGGGCTTCGTGATGTTAAGGTCACGCTTTGCTCATATGAGCCTGGTGGCTCTGTCAGCCGTCGTAACACTCCGCCTTGGCTCTAGTTCAAGGACCAGAACGAGCGCAAGGCAGCTGACAAGAACGATAGCAAGGTACATGGCATGGTAGAGATGAGATTGAAGAACTGGGAGAGTATAATGCAAGGTTTACACATACCTAGTACTAGATATGAGGTTTGACAAGAGCTTAGCTCAATCTGGTGTGGTTTTGAACATGAATCTCGAATGAAAAGTGCAAAAATCAGAGAGTGTCTTCATATTAGCTGTGAAAGAGAAAAAAGAAAAACGGTAAAAAAAGATAATAGTAAAATATCCCAGCATATCTTATCTAAAATATCCATTACTGTCATACATAGGGTTGGCAACCAAATCCTCCCAATCTTGGCCCAACTCCTCAGCCGTCTGGAGCTCGCTCGGGAAGCGAAACGAGAACATATCGGTGCTAAAGTCGATCATATTTGGATCTGAAGACAACGAAACCGTTCTCCAATCGCCACATTGAACTATCTGGCCTGGCCGCTTCGGCGCTCTGATCCGCATTGTCCCAAAGTAGGGAATCATCATCTCGTAGCAATCCGGGCCATTATACTCACCTCTAGAAATACTGTACAGATTGTTGAGGACTTCGGCCGCCTGTATCGCGACTGAGCAGCCCAATTCCGCCGCGGTTCGGCCCAGACTTGAAGATAGTTGGCCCAGCAACTCCCAGATGCGCTCATCGTCTTGCGTTTTCTCCTGGCCTCGCTTGCTGAGATCGGCAGCGAGGACGATCCCCCCACTAAAAGCGAGGAAGTCAAGAAAGTCGCAGGTAAAGTTGTCTTCTATCAGATCCCGGAGCCTGAGGTACGTCTGCACCATGGCTTCGGCGGACTCCAGTGCGAGGAAGCGACTGTGTTCGTATTTTCTATTGTGCGCGGCTAGAAGAACGTAGGGCAAATGAAGCACTTTATTGGTAAAATGGAAATGGAGGAGAAGGGACATGCGCGAGAACGCGATGGCAGGGGTTACCGGAGGTTGGTTCCCGTGCTCAAAGTTGTACCAGTCTTTTGGTATCAACTTTCTGACGCGTTCCATCGTCTCCATGATGGAGATTGTATCGGCGTATGACGACTCCTCTTGCCATCGTTGCTGCCGTCGCTGGTCGCGCTCGACAATCCGACCACAGACAGAGGTCACGGATCGCATGATCTGGTGCTCCAGTGGGGGACGAATCCCATCATCTCTCTCATCCTCCGGTATCAAATCGCCTGGAACCGAATAGGGCAAGCCTAGAAACATCGACAGTTGCCAATCCAGTCGCCAGAGTGATGACCATATTGACTTCAACCGAGCACCGTCCTGCTCAGGGCGGTGGAGTCCAAGGAGCATGGCGTTATCGACCCCTTGCCGAACCGACTTCCACGCTCTGCAAGGTCGACCCATGTTGACGAAGAGCTCGGCCTGGAGAATGTACACTTCGAGCAAGTCGAAGTCGCAACCCAAGCGTGATGAGCTACGCTGGAACACAGCGACGTCCAACTCATCGAGGCATTTGTCCATCAGGTCAGCCTTGGGCATTGGAAGGCAGAAATCCTGGGTTGTCGTGTATGCTGGGGGCAGCTGCTGGAGGCAAAGGCAAAACCAGGCAAGGCATTTAGCCAGGATGCTCGGGCTGGAGGAACGTAACGAATCATCGATAAATCCAACAGCATCTCCCACAGAGCTTGGAAGACCATGGATATTATGTGAATTGACATCGCGAGCCGAATGGAGAGGCCAAACATCCCAAAATTTATGTGATAAGTCGAAGATCCTCACCAAGGTTGAGTTCACGGGCATCAAACCACGGATACGTCTCTCTGTGGGACGGATAATGGGGTTCTCAACACAAGGCTCACGCGACGGATCGTCCCTCCGAATGGAGGTATCAACCTGCGTAGCCAGCGAGTCGCGGAGGTATTGAATAAGGGGTGCCTCGTCAAGCGCAGCGTCCGGGTTTACGCCACTTGCCTGCTCATGCTTAGAGGACTGGGCACCGAGCACAGCAATGGGACGAGAAGAGGGGCTGATACCTGTTTGACTAATAGTCTGACAAAGGTCACGGACGGAAGCCTCCAGGGAGGCCATACGAGCTTGTAAATCGTCCGAAGTGGAGGCAGAGGCCGACGGAGGCACACCAGCAGAAGCAGAGGCTGCGGCTGACACTGCGCAATGTTCTTGTGATATACATCGAGTATCGTGTAAGACACACTGTTGGCAGCTGTCACTCCCGTCGTCAAATTGACAGCGGACCTTTCGACGGCGGCACTCGCTGCAGCTTTTGGTGCCAAGTCGCATGCGTTTGGCCAGAGGCTGGTTAGGACCTGGGGCCCGATGCTCCAACTTCATCGACATTCCAGGTAGACAGCCTTTGTTGCCTCTTCTGGATCGAGATTCCGTCCGATAGACCCCGGTTCTGCCCTGTGCCGTCAACCCGAGGGGAATCAATCGCGCCCAAGAGATGGTGATGGGAAGGAGAGAGTCATCAACTCTCGGACGCGTCGCACGAATATGGATCAGAGCCCCTTGTCAGCTCCACTCCTAAATATTGGTAATCTCAATTACTTCGGACGAGTTCGGAGCCTCCAGATGTCAAGCGATGACGAAGGTAAGTATTCATGGGATATCTGTAAGGTGTCGTTGAAAGGGTATATATATGGTGGTTTACCTCGTCAATCTTCCATCATGTCCCTCATCACAAGCCTCACACATTCACAGACATCAATAAATACATCAAGAAATACCTTGCTCCTTACTTTCCCTCTACAATCCCCCAAATCATCCCAAAAATGAGTCAAAGCGAGAAGCTCGAGGCCATCGCCTCCCAGGCCAAGAACATACCGGGCATTGAACCGGTCATTAAAGCTCTGGAAAACTTCACCAAAGACTTCAAGCCAGAGTCGGCCGTGCAGATCGGCGACAAGTTCCCCAGCTTCAGCCTCACCGACGCCACGGGCAAGCAGGTCTCGAGCGAGGACCTCCTCGCCAAGGGCCCTCTCCTCATCACCTTCTACCGCGGCCAGTGGTGCCCCTACTGCAACGTCGCCCTTCAGTTCCTGCAGCGCCACCTCGACAAGTTCAGCGCCCGCGGCGTCACCCTCGTAGCCCTGACCCCCGAGCTGCCGGACAAGAGTCTCAGCACGACGGAGAAGAACGAGCTCAAGTTCCCCGTGCTGACCGACCTTGGCAACGGGGTCGCAAGGAAGCTCGGGCTCATCTACAACCAGTCAGCTGCGAGGGAGTTCTACGCCCAGCATGGCATCAACTTGAAGGAGCATAACGGGGACGACTCGTTCGAGGTGCCGGTTCCCGCGACGCTGCTGGTGGATAGCTCGGGTATCGTCCGTCAGAAGTATGTGGAGCCGGATTTCCGCAAGAGGATTGAGCCCAAGCTCGCCCTGGAGTGGATTGATTCCCTATAGTCATAAGTATATTTAGGAATCCGGGAAACATTGACGGGTGGATGAACGGTTGAATAGAACACTATTCTTTCATATACTATCATTATCATTAAACATTAGCTCAACAACTGTGAATAGAGGACAGCTGTTCCAGCAGCTGCTCGTCCCCCTCGCTGCTTCGCTAGGACATTACTCTGTAGACGGGGTATTCATCCCCAGGAGACGCAGGAAGCAGCCGGAACGCGGCGAAAGAGTCCACACTCTCTGGCTCCAACCTGGCAAACACTTGCGCTGCCATTCTCTGTCTCGTGCTGACCCGAAACCCGCCTGCGGGTATCTGCACCTCCTTCCGTATTACCTCCGTATTAGCGATTACCCGGGGCGTCGTCTCCTCCTGCGGTACCACCTCGTCTCCTGATCCGTGTAAGTGTATCGCCTCAACCTCCCCTTGGAACGGTGCAGTGAGCGTATCGACCTGGACACCGGCAATGCGCAGCTTCTCGGCAACGCTGGCCCATTCCGGACCAAAAATGTATGCCTCTGGGCGGCGACGCGTGAGCTCAGCCTCAACAGGCGTGCTATTGCCAAACAGCACAGGGACGTCCGTGATCTCCCCTGAAGCAGAATCAATAAACATCCAGTTGGCCTCCATCATTCTATGACGGTCCGTCACGACGATATCCTCCCTACTCTCGATAAAATCGGCCCGCGCCGCCTCAACCGTGTCGTAAATCGTCCCAGCATGCTCAACAACCGCCTCCATCGCCGCCTCCAAGAGCACCAGCCCCGTCGCGACCCGTCGTCGAAAATGCTGCTCCCCGAGATGCGTGCCCCTCGTCTCCGTGAGGATCTGCACCCCCTGGCCCAGCGCGACGTGCGTGTCCATCTTGGCATCCGTCCCCATCTCGAGGAGCACCATCTCAGACGCATTCGGCCGGGTCACGTACTGCCCCCATCGCAGGCCCCTCGCGTCCATCGCCGCACCCATGCGGTCGACGAATAGCGTCTGGGAGAGGGCGCGGATGGTCGGGTGGACGTTGAGGTTCTTCATGGACGAGACCATGGCGTCCTGGGCGAAAAGGAGGTCGGCGTGCCTCCCGTGGCGGCGGTTGGCATAGTACTCGTGGCAGTCGATGCCGACGTGCGGCGCGAACCTGTTCTGGAGGCGTTTGATGTCGACGGTCTGCTGGTGGGCGAGTGCGGTGTGGTCGCGGTTGGGGTCGGCTCCGTTGGCAAGGGTGCGTTGGAATCGCGCGACGCCGTCGGGGTTGTAGTGAGGGAGGATCATGAGGTCGGCCTTGTCCAGGAGGGCAGAGGCGAAGGAGGCGTTGGCGTCGAGTTTGCCGAGGAGGGCGAGGATGGCTTGGTCGCCTCCTGGCTCGTCTCCGTGGACGCCGCCAGTGAGCCAGATCCGCAGCTTGGAGGAGTTGTTAGTGTGATTAGAATTATCAATTGAAGGTAGTGACTGTGGTGAGGCGCTTGACAAGCTGACGAAAGGGATAGATCGTCCTTCTTCGGACGTAAAGTCTGGTTCCTGGTAGCTCATCCAGTCATTCCTGGCGGCCAGGGTCTTCAGCCAGTCCTCTATGCGCAGAATGTGTCTCAGCAAATGTTTCCCATTGAAAGAAAGCAGGTAGATGTGGCCCTTGGCGGTACTCACCGAGAACATTCTGAGGCGTCGGCCCCGAGATTCCATGGCGGAAACCCTCAGGTACGGTGTCTGGAGATGTGAACGCGGGCGACAATATTACGTCGTCGACATCGGGAAAGTTTGCCGCGATGTGAGCCGGATCCTTCTGGGCCAGAAGTGGGCGAAGATATGTGAGACGGTGTTGCGCGACTCCTCCAACACATGGTTCTGCCAAGAGACTGAGGAGTGGCCACCAGATTCCCAAAGGCCGCATTGTCGTGCCTGTCGCAGACGGTGTCTGGTCAAATCATTCTATCCCTATAGTACCAAAAGCAAGGGAAAGAAAAATGTCAAGATGAGGAGCGAGTGGATGAAGCCAGAGAAGAGCTGCGTGGAATGTTCCTCTCAGTTGCCTCAAATGGGGGGTAATTGAAGCCCCCCACGTGTGCTGCGAAGAACAGACCCATCATATGAGACAAATTAACATCCTTCAGCAGAGAAATCGGAAAATTAAACGGGTTCCCCCTATCATCTGGTGCGACGGAGTGGATGAGGGTTGAACGTGCGTAATCGAGGCCGGTTGCGGGGGTTGAGAGGCTCGATGTGACCTCACTGGTGCTTCTCCTCAGTCGATTTTCCCTGTTTTCAGAGCGAATCGATTGCGAACGGACAAGGGCCTGGTCATTCCCGTGGGTCTTGGCTTGCATAAGCTCGCCGCGGGAAGAACAGAAGCCTCTAGTCTGATGAGAAGCTTGTTTCTCCCGGTGTTCACATGCAATGCGAGTCATTCTGCGGTCGCATTCTCCTTTTAATGAGTTTCTCCTCTGCTGCCTGAAGAGCTGGAACAGGCAGGCCTCGGTGAATAGGGGAGACGGCACACCTTTGAGATATGCATATCTTAAGTATAACTGGCGGCTCCGGAAATGAGCTTGATTAGAATCCCTGCCGATTCGTGCTCAACTTCTTCTCCAGGCAGTGGAGAAGCAGGATTCGTCAGTACCCTGGTCCAGCTCCCTCCCACAAGATGGATCCTACATGGTGCGTGCTCTTATCAAGAAGAACGTGCTCAGAGCACGGACGAGGACACAGTCGCACAGAGACGCGACAGAGCCACAACTCTTGCTGGTGTCCATATTCCCGAAGCTGGCTCTATTCCAGTTCAGACAGGAGAACGGCTCGAGCCGACGCTTGCTGGCTTGAAGACGCCATTCGCGGACCATGCTCCCCTTAAAGCCCAGCTAATTCCAAGCGTGACACCAGTTTGCGGATCACAACCGCATTGGTGTAGAAGCCGTTCAGACCGCCACGAGATGGAAATTATCACTATCGCGGTGGCAATCTGGCTTTTCCATGCTTGTCGATGGGGACCGCGTTAACCGCGCACACATCACTCAATCATATCGCCAATCTAGGACACCAGATCAACACGTTATTTTCTACCATAGTCTTTAATTCTATTCATAAAAAACTAGCTGCGCTGTGCTTTCTGCAATGTAGATCAAGTAGATATTCTATCCTAGACGTGATCAATCCTTGAGACCGTCCTCGGTGATGTCGAGCATCATCCTACATACATCAGCAATTGTCGATAATCAGCAGCATTGGAGACGTAAAGAAGACTTACCATGAAACCTCCCAGTGCTGTTCTCCGCTCAAGCTCTTGCACATCCCTCTGCTCCCGGCATTGCTCGCCGCCACATCTGCAGATGTCCATCCATCGGTCGCATACGGGCCGCATCCGGTGCGCATCAGCTTCGCTCCCAGCGCTTTGGCCAGGCCGCGACGGCGATATGGTTCCTTGTCGGTGTTAACTTACAATGTATATGCCATGATTGTGAGAAAAAACAAAGCATCTCGGGCGCTTACTTACCTCGCAGTGAAGACTACACAGCGAGCCATCGAATCCTGCAGTATGTCAGTCATGCGAAGCTGCAGGAATCGTTCACCACACGCAGAACGAACCTAGAAATGCCCAGGCGATGGGTGTGCCATCCTCAATCCGGATGATCAAGTTCTGAAGGCGGAACAGTGTCTCACTTTGCTCTAGGTCAGCAAAATAATCACACGACGGGTCTTCCATCAACGCAAACATACGCTACGCGGGGAATGTCGGTTCTGGACACGACAATCCTACAGTCATCCAGCGACGCCGTGTCCCATCGCATCCCATCAGGCAACGGGGCATCATTTTCCGGGAAACCCTTTGCTTGGAACAGCCACTTGTCGTAGAATCCAGTTGCGCGAGGCGCCGCACGCCCCAGGTCTATCAAGACGTCTCGCACAGCAGTATGTAACGACCCCAGGAGCAGACCCCCAGGATACACCGTCGGCTTACCATATTCCCTGTTCAGCTTGACCAGCTCCCGGACCAGCTCCTCGATCTGGAGCCGATACTCGGCCTTGTCCGCGTCACTCGGCTTCTCCACCTCCTCGAGCGTGGAGAAGAGCCACATCTGCGTGTCGGGCCCGCCGCCATAGTCCACGTACGCGGCTGTGAACCGTGCTGAGGCGAGCTGGTCGCCGTCGAGGACGTTGCCGTTCGAGACGATGATTGCACGCGCGTTTGGGGGCATGCCATCTTTGTACTTTGCGTGTTGCAGCCGGCGGAGCACCGGGAGTGAGTATGGCAAATGGGCCTGTAGCAGCCGCTCCATATCCTCCGGCACGTCCGGGGAGGTGCGTGTTGTGAGCTTCACAGACGGAGTCATAGTTGGCTTTGTTGGGGCTGCTTTCGCCGAGTGATTTGCGGAGAGATGAAGTTCCGCTGGGGGGTTAAAGGCCAAGTCATGAAGTTTATAGAAATTTCATTTATCCATTACACGTACGGGATTTACGGACGCTCTGATGCAATGTGAGTGAGTCATCATGAAGACCAGTGATGCACCGTGGATCGGCAGCATCAGCGAACAGCAATCCGGGGTTACACCAGTACTTAGTCAATATTTTTAGAGCACTAGTAAGGTATTTACAGCGATTTCACTGTGCTATAAAGTGCGATTTCCCATACCTACGTAACAATACTTCCTCCAGAACCTCGGTGCTGAGACTCCCAATGCCAATGGTTTGGAACGCACAAATTGTTATTTCTGCGCTATCACGTAACTACAATTTCGCAATTATATTGATGTAGACCATTCTAGCTAATAAGTAGTTAGGATAATATTACTACTGAATAGAGGATGTAGGTATTCTTCTTACCGGCGTGAAAGCTTGTTTCGAGCTGGGTAATTGAACTAGTATAGGGTAAGCTCCAGCTCAGCTCAGGACCCAAACAATGCCTTGATGCCACGACTCCGAGACATTCCATCTCTTTGGTGCATCGGAAGCTATACTTTATATCTTACAGGGGTCTGATTAGCCTAAAACCCTAGCAGTAATAGATACTTATATTTCTATACTAATTTAGCCTATAATAGAAGTCCTAGTAATAGTTTAAGTTATAAAGAGGAATATTATATTACTTACAGCTAGACCTTAACTATAGTATCCTCCTATTCCTACTAACCTCTATAAATACTATTTTTACAGGCTTATACTAATAGATATCTCTACAGGCTATATAGCAGCCCGGGCTCTTTTATTAAATATAAATATACTATAAAATAGATATATTTATATCCTCTATATAGTTCTTCTACTATAGGCTTACTTTTTAACTATATTAGGATAGGAGATTATAAGAAATCTACTCCTGCTATTTATATAAGATCTAGAATAGCTTCTAATTTAGCTAATTATTCTTTTATAGTAAGAAGATATTTAAAAGAGTAGTTTTAAGAAGAAAGTCTTATACTAATATCTGTTAGTTATTATACTCAGAACTGGCTGTAACCAGCTTAGATATTATTAATAGGTTCTTAGTTATTAGCTACAGGGTAGCTATAGTTAGATAGCTTATAGTTAAAATCTAGGTTTATAATACTTTTACTTATATATAAGATAATATAATTCTTAAGGCTTAAGTTCTTTCTATCTACTAGCTGTTTATAGCTCTTTTATAGGGGGCTCTATATAGCCCCTATTTATAGTATAATAAATACCCTGAATAAAGGAAAAAATACTACTACTTTTAGTAGTCTAGCTATATTTAGCCTACTTTAATAAATAAAAGAAAATCCTAATAAAAGGTTAATTAATTATTATTTAGCTAGTATATATTATCCTATAAAGAAAAGTTCTATTACTCTAATTCTCCTTTACTAATTATATATCTATATTTACTCTTACCTTAGTTATCTTTATACTTAATCTATTCTATACTTTTTTCTTTATTATAATAGATACTATTCTTTTCTAGTTCTCTTTTTATATCTCTAAATTATATTACTTAGCTTATTAGCTTATAGATCCCTCTAGATTATTCTCTAGCTTATACTTAGAAGGAATCTTTAGGTTTATAGCTAATTTCCCTAGAGTTATCTTAGTAGATATCTTCTTTAATAGTATTTTAATAATCTGCTTTAATTTACTATATATAACTAGAGCCTTAGATAAAGTCTTATTAGCTCTATCTAACTCTAACTCTTACTTCTTATTAACTATCTATAATACTTTATACTTAGATAAAGTTTTACCTATCTTATAGCTAGCCTCCTTAAGAATATTAAGCTTAAGCTATAAAGTAGTAATACTTATCTTTAGAATAGTATTTTTCTCCTTTAAAACTATATTAGATTCTTCTAAATTATTAATATAGCTTATATTCCCTTTAAGCTCTTTAAATATCTTATTATTATATTAATTAATTATTTTATAATTAGAATACTTTATCTTATATCTAAGATTTTTATTAATCTATTTAAAATATATTTTCTATATATAGATAGTTTTTATCTTAGTTTTAAGTATATTACTAATAATTATAAGATCTATATAATCTAAAAATACTAGTTTAATTATAATTTACCTATTAAAGATATAGGGGTTAATATAATAAAGAGTTAAAATATTAACTTTAGCTAGTAATTAGTTATTAGAATTCTTAGTATTATACTTATTAGTAATATATTTAACCCTATTCTGAATATATATCTTAACTATAGTATTAACTTATTATTTAATATAGTAAATCTATATACTCTTACTTATATAATCTTTATAATCTATAGCTATTTTTAACTCCTTTACTTTAATAATCTCCTCCTAGATTTCTTTAATCTTATTCTTAATTTTATAGAACTCTTCTATAAGAGGGTAATTTAAATTTTCAGGATCTAATATATTTTAAAAGCTAGCTATAATATAATTAAGGGCTAAGATATTAAGTAATTTATT